TTTTTTTTCTTTTTTTTTTCCTTTTTTTTTTTTATCTGGAAGAACGAGCTTTTATTTATTTATTTATTTATAAGTGGAGAGATTAGAAAGTATTCGTTTTATGGATGTCCTCCATGTCTTGGCATATTTATTGTATTCTGTTAAAATCTATTCTAAAATGTGTGGAAAAAGTGATCCTCCCGGATGGCTGAACGTGCTACAGAGACCTACGGTTGAACAGGACGACAAAACACGAATGCCATCGGGGGAATTTCCTCCGCGTTTAGGGCAGCTCCTAATGCGGCAGCGGAGCGGCGGCGCTCGGCGACACGCGGAGCCGTCAGCAGGGAAACACGAAAGGCATCCGGGCGGCTGAGCTGCCAGAGGAACCTCCGGTTTCATTGCGAGGGGCCTCAGCATCAGCTCCACAGCCGAGGAAATCTTTAATTTGCTGGGGGCGGGTTTGTTGGGGCGGCTCGGTTAGGGCCATATTGTATGCTACAGCCACCTCCCCCCCCGGGCGCTCCCGGCCCTGGCACCGCCTCCCCGTCGGGCAGGGCCGTGCCGTGCCGGGGGAGGGACGAGCGGAGCGGCGCTGCGGGCAGAGCGGTGCGGTGCGGTGCGGGCAGGAGGCGGCGGGATGTTCAGCTGGTTGGGGAAGCAGGGCGGCGGGCGGGAGCGAGGAGTCGGCGGCGGCGACGTGGTGCAGACGGTGACCGGAGGGTTGCGGGACCTCTACCTCCGCAAGCTGCTGCCGCTGGAGGAGCACTACCGCTTCCATGAGTTCCACTCGCCCGCCCTGGAGGAGGCTGACTTCGAGAACAAGCCCATGGTGCTGCTGGTGGGGCAGTACAGCACCGGCAAGACCACTTTCATCCGGTAGGTGGCGGACCCCGGCCCGTGCCCCGCAACTGGGAGCCGCCCCAGCCGGCAGCGGCGCTGCCTCGCCGAGCCCCTCTCGCCTCCTGCGGGTGCCGCCCGTGCAGGTGCTGGCGAGGAGCTGGGCGGCGCGGGGTGCCCCGTGCTGGGGATGGCGCTGCTGCCGGGCGTGCTCGGTGTTCCGCGGTTCATTCTGCCAACTTCCTGGTTAAGGAGGTTCTCTCGATTTCACGTCGCGCTGGCAGTAACCTCGTTGGGTACTTCCTGTTAACTTTTCTCAGAACTGGTTACTTTGCGTTAAGAGGGCATCAGTCGTCAATGACCATGTAACCTTATCTCCACTTCTTCTTTCTCTTAAATTCAAAATATAGTTGGTACTTTCGTAGTGTTTTTGTATCTTTTCTGTTCTCGTTGTGAAGTTTGCAGGGGTTTTAGGGAGCTGGAGAATGCCTGCATTTGTCTTGGTGTGTTTGCCTCATGTTTCATTTCGGTATCTGAAGATGGGCTGTGAGAAATGAGGATACAGGCTCTTTAGTGGGGTCTGTTGTGATATGACAAGGGGAAATGGTTTCAAAATAGGAGAAATTCAGCTGAAATATAAGGAGGAAGTTTTTTACAATAAGTGTGTTGAGGCACTGGAACAGATTGCCCAGAGAGGTGGTGGGTGCCCCATACTTGGAGACGCTCGAGGTCAGGCTGGATGGGGCTCTGAGCACTCTGATCTAGTGTGGGTGTCCCTATTCACTGCGTGGGAGTTGGACTAAACGGCCCTTTAGGGTCCCTTCCAACTCAAACAATGCTGTGATTTTATAACGATCGTTTAGAACTCTGCAGAAGATGCTGAGAGGTCCTTGGGTGAAGTTTTAACCTTCTGTAAATGATACAAATATGTCCCTTTTAGTTCCAAAGTTTACTGCCTGTAACAGTGTTTCTTTTGCAATGTGCGGCTCCCTCCCTCCTGTTCTGCAGAGCACAGTTTGCCTTTGCTCACCTGTGCTATCTCAGATGTTTGCATAGGTATTTGTGTTCCCTTCCTGCTTGGCAGCTGCATAGGAGCTCTGAGCTGAGCAAGGCTCTTTGGTGGGGACTGAACTCCTGTGGACACACAGAGCAGGTTTGCTTGGAGCACCGCATTAAAAATAGAAGTGGGGCTGTCACTAAAAGAAGGGAAACTCAGTTTCAGGATCCCCAATGCTAGCTGAAAGGAAGTGTGTGTTTGTTGGCTGGGTGACTTAGGTTTTCCTAGCATTTCTTTAGCCACCCTGATTCATTTTCATTGTTGCTTGTGCTCACATGATAGCGGTGTTGGTGGTTGGGGTGTGTTTCTGGGTAAGCATTTCCAGAACAGATTGCCCAGAGAGGTGGTGGATGCCCCATCCCTGGAGATGCTCAAGGTCAGGCTGGACTGGGCTCTGAGCACCTGACCTAACTGTAGGTGTCCCTCTTCATTGCAGAGGACGTTGGCTAGATAGTCTTTAATGGTTCCTTCCAATTCAGTGGTTCTGTGATAGATCGTAGAACACCCCAATTGTTCCTACATGGGTGATGAGGGCATGGGTAACCTGGAGATAGAACAGGCCAGAATACTGTGCACCTGAACATGTGCCACCTGCCAGCTGAACTGCTGGGTCATTTCATAGGATTTTTTTTCCCCTCCTGTAGCACTTTGCCTTGGATGAGAACTCACATTCTTCCTTTATGGGCATTCAGAATTTCTGTCCTTTACAGGTGCTCATGTTAAGTACTGGGATTAAGTCAGTATGATGGTCCTCGAGGTGGTTCACAAGTACTTTTGGTGCTATTGCTTTGTAAGTAACGTTACCACGTTAACAGTAAAATATTCAGCAGTAGGGCTAACTGGTATTAACATACTGTCTGGATGAAGAAGGAAATTTCATTTCCAAACATTTTACCCTAATTTCCCACAGCAGTGAGACTGTAGTCATCTCTGCTGGGGTAGGAGGTCTGGACAGACTTGAACCTTCTGGTAAATTTCAACTGAATTTGACTGACATAAAGGTTTCAAACCTGTTTTCTCATAGTTCTTATTAAAATTTCTGACTGAATGGAGGAAGCGATTTCTTTTACTGTGTTGTGCCCTTCTTTTTCCCTACCTGCCCCTTTCATCCCATCCCTATTCAGGTAAATCACAGTGTGGTTTCTTCCTTCACTAAGTGCTGGAGATCTCAGGAATTGACCTCTGAGACCCTGTCAGTGACAAAGCAGTTGTTAGTGCTCTGCAGGCTGACCTCAGCACCAGCACCTTCCTAGGGGGCAGATAAGCATTCATTACATCAGGGTTTGCCATGGAATAGATAATACCTGTAGATAGCAGCTGGCTGCAGCAGGATAGGGAAACACTCTTCAACAGCAGCAGTTTATAACAATGGTATAGAGGTTATGTCACAGTAACTGATAATCAAAATCGAGCTCAGAGGGTGATTTTTCATGGAAAAATGCCGTAACCTCTCAAGATTGTTATAATTCAGGGTTAGTTTTCTTCAGAAGGAAGTTAGACCTTATCTCATTTTTCCTTTTATTTTTGCCAGTAGCCTTTTGGCAAGCAAACATTACTTTAAATCTTAACTAAAGCAGGTTTTGCTTCACCTTTCTTCATTTCATAATCAGAAGGACACACTTAGTCTATTTCAGTGTTTGCTATCACGTTCATATGTGAATCCACGAATCCGTTCTGCTGGTGAATATTCATTTCAGCTTTACTCATTGTGATTACCCAGCACAGTGTAATCTGATTTGGAAATTATCGTGAGAACTGTACATTTTCATGGCTCAGACACATCCACCCAGTTCCTTCCACAAGTCTTCATGGAAAACACTGATCTAGCAATGACCACATGTCCCAGGAGACAGAGATGGGAAAACAATCACTGTCAGCCCCTCTTTTTTTTTATCCTTGATGCTGCTGATACACTTTGCACTTGGAACAATGCAGTGAAACCAGGAGGTTGTAACCTCCTGGTTTCACTGAGTAAGATGTATTATGATAATGCCATTTTAGTCAGGTATCTGACAGTGCTGACAACTCAAACAGCAATACCCAGGCCCAAGTGGTAATGCTTGTCTGATTGTTTTTTTAACAGGGTGGGAGGATGTCTGAGTGCCAAGTGCTTATCTCTGTAAGCTACTTGGCACTGTACCTGTGTAGCTTCTGGAACGCTCTCAGCTTCCCATGGCTGCTTCAGAGTGGCAAAAGGAGGGACAGGAGAAGAGAATAGTGGTGTACCAGAGACAGGGGTCGTCACTGCAACTCTGTAGTCACTGAACTTTTACTTTCCTTCCCACCATGCATCGAACTTCCAGTGTGATACATTTAACTTATTAAGTCTTCTCTTTGAGAAGTGTGAGACTGAGTGCTGGGTTTTTCTTTCTCGCTTGCTTTCTTGCTTTTTTTTTTTTTTCTATTGCTTTCTTTCTCTTGCATTCTTCCATGTACTTACTGTGATGAGGAAAACCAGAAGTGAATTCCTTAGCTTGCCAGCTGATGATCTTACTGTGCTCAGAGGTATTACGCAGAGGTGAAGATGGTAAACTTCCTTCTATTTACTTCAGCCAAAGTAGTTCTGAGAAAGCTCCCTGTTGTAGCTGTAGTATCTGGTGTGCAGTTCAGTGTATGGCAAGAATGGGCTGCATCATTTTTTTGTTGGGGTTGACATGGAGAGGCCTTTATTTCTTTGTTATCCAAACAGAATGAAAGCACAAAGTAGAATGCTTCTAAAGCAGGGGAGATTTAGACTAGATGTTGGAGAAATTTTTCACTCAGAGAGCAGTGAGGTGCTGATACAGGCTGCCTGAGAAGCTGTAGGTGTCCCTACAGCTTGGGTGTGGAAGTGCAGGTTGGTTGGGGCCCTGGGCAGCCTCATCTGGTGGGTGTCAGCCCTGCCCACAGCAGGGGACCAGATGATCTTTAACGTCTCTTCCAACTCATTCTATGATTCCATGATTGTATGAATTCTTGTACTGCAGCAAACATTTCCTGTTGGTTTTGTTATGTTTAAAAAAAAAAAAATGCAGAGGATTTGTGGTCTCATGTAGAATGGAGCAGCCCTATGAAAAGAGGCTCAGCCAGTCTTTCCATACATCACGCTGCATCCTTGCCCACTGCTCGTCTGTCCAACTAGCCTGTGTTTGTATGTTAGCGTGGCTGAACTGAAGCGTGCAGACTTTAGATGATTATCAGCATCCGCCACTGTGAGTAATCATTGCTATCTCTGGAACCTTGTGAACTGGTTTCCCGGAGTTTGGCTATAGATCTGGCCAAGGGATGTAGACAAATGGTTATTAGTGCAGCAGAAAGGTTATAGCCCAGGTGAAAACAAAGAGAGAAGAGCAAGTTCCTCGAGTCAACAGGATGTCTGCTGTTTGATCCAGACTGTCTTTGGGGCGCTCGCTATTTTTAAGCATTCTTCCTGTGAATCTTTTTGAACTCCCTCTGGTGAAAATTCCTGAGGAGGGCATGTGGTCACGGATACTAAAAATCCAGGTAGTTTCCTGTGCTAAAATCACATGCGATACAAAGACATTTGCAACTTTTTAGCTTATAGAAGGCTGCTCTTCCCTTTTGTGTGGTTGAGTGAAAGTGGTATTTTCATAACCAGAGGAAGTATGATATAGTTTGTACCACCAGCACTCAAGATCTTGGAGTTTATTTTAGGCTGTCCTGATTCTGGATGTGCATCTGTGAGCCAGGGCCTTAATGGAAAATACCTGCCCTGCAAAGTGCTTGCTGTCTGCTAAAGAGCTGCACCAGGCATAGCACTGGCTGCTGGGTGGGACCTGTATTTGAAGTAGCTCGTGCCTTCCTGCATTGTCACCACTTCCAGAGTTTGGCTTCTAAAACAGCATCTTTGAAGTCAGTGTGGAAGTATTGCAGCTCCATAGCACTTTGTTCATGTTTGTTCTATGTCTCATATACACAGTTAATTTGAATTTACACTATCTTTTTTAGTACTGAGCTGAAAAAATGCATGTTGAAAATCCTGAAAGGTGCATGATGCTGCCAACTCTTTGTAAAGTCTGCAGGTGTTGCATGTGCTGGCAGCCTCATGAGCAAGATATGAGATTATTTTTTAGTCATCTAAAAGAAGACCACCACTGAAGGTTCATCATCAATGCCTACCAGTTTCATGAGCTTTTCTGATTGAGAGCAGTGATCCTATTACATGGAGGTGTCCTAGCCTGCATTCGGATCCCCTACAGAGATGTAATAGAATCATCAAAACATTAAAGTTTTCAAGGACTCTTAAAGGCCATCTAGCCCAAATCCCTTGCAATCAACAGGGATACCTACATCTAGATCATGTTGCCCAGAGCCTGGTCCAACTTATGTTGAGTGTTTCCAGGGATGGGGCATCCACCACCTCTCTGGGCAACCTGTTCCAGAGCCTCAACATCCTTACTGTAAAAGACTTCTTCCTTATATCTCATCTGAATCTCCCCTGTTTTAGTTTGAAACCATTTCCCCTTGTCCTATCACAACAGAACCTGCTAAAGAGTCTGTCCCCTTCAAGATGTGGTTCTTTGTGATCCTGTGGGATCTGAGACTTCTCTTGTGTGCATTTGATCCAGTATGATGTTTTTCACTGCTGCTCCAGGAGCTTCTTGTCAAGCCTCAACTTGCTGTATCAGACTTGACCCAGTGTCTACATGCAGTCTGTGTCTGTGAGCAGATTGCTCACAAGGGATGCAAGATGGTTTCTATCCAGCATCGCCTGATCTCATGCCTCTAGGATGGTTGTTACCTTTTTCCCTGAAGTTCTGTGGGTCTAACTTATTTAACAACAGTTTTCTAATATACAGACCAGAATAAAAGCCCTTTCCTCACTCCCAAATAAAAGTAGGTTTATTGTCTCGTAACTGTGTTGTCTCCACCTGTGGAAAGGTGAAGTTAGTAAAAATCCTGTGTTGCAACAGAGTTCATTGAACGGTTAGATCTGTCAGCAAGCTGATGCTACTCATGTGCTGTGTTTCAAACCACTCCCTTTCAGTACTAGAAACACTGTAAGGGTTGAAAACATGGGCAAAAGAAAATGATGTCTTTTAGTGTAAGCTAAAATCACAGTACTGTGATCTTTGGTAGAAATATCCATCTTCATGGCTCAGGTGCTGCAGCTGAGGGAATACTTTCAACTCTGTTTTTGTGAAGGGACTGACTTTATCTTTTTACCTACTTGTAAAAAAACTGGAATTTGATCTTTTTAACTTTTCCTAGCTAATACGAACATTGAAATGAAGATAAAAATGTGATTTTATGGTTCTGTTGTGTTTACTGAATTTATGATTCTATTGTGTATATCCTTCAGAATTTTCAAGAGCATTGTAGTTATTGACTTTTGTCTTATTTCTCAATCATTCATTCTGTTACTTTATATATTCTCCATCACTAGATACTTGCTGGAACAAGACTTCCCAGGCATGCGGATTGGTCCCGAACCTACCACGGATTCTTTCATTGCTGTGATGTATGGAGAATCAGAAGGAAGCGTTCCAGGAAATGCCCTGGTTGTTGATCCGAAGAAGCCATTCCGTAAGCTCAGCCGGTTTGGAAATGCTTTCCTAAACAGGTGAGATCTGATTGTTTACTATCTTTTGATTTTAAGTCTCAATTTCTACTTAATTCTACTTTCAAGCATCAATGTTGCTTGCCAAGTCTTCTCTGCTGTATTCTTTTAGAGCAGCGTGAAATAAGTGTTCAAATAGGGGCACTAGCTTAGAGCTGACTTGGTTTTAAGACATTGTGCCAGCTGGAACTCAGGATTAGTTTGCTCACAAATTCCTCTGCTCAATAAAACTAATAGACAAGTACTATTATTTAGTGTTATAGTTACAGTACTTATAATAGGTGATAGACAAATGCTATTATTTAAAAACTACCATCCAAAATACAGAAAGATCTACTTTCCTTGATGCTGTCTTGTTTTTCTAAACTGATCTCATACACTGGAGATTTTTCAGAAACTCTTCAAAGTTGTGAACAGTAGGGATATCTGTAAAAAGACCTGTCGGAAAGTGATTAATTTTGATGACTGGAACAGATGAAGCTGGTTTTCAAGCATTGCAGTAGAGCAGGATAATAGCAATATCTTCTAGATGCTTGCTGTGTATTTACAGAAGTTGTTCAGGGGCTGTGAATGTTGCAATTAGCTTAACTCACCATCTAAATATTTCCATTTGGACGTTATTAATAACTTTGTCCGTATTGTGTGAGTAATCACCTTGTTTTCTTCCTGTGTTTGATGGTAGTTTGACATGGAGGTCTACTTTTGTGAGCCAATTAATCTAAATTGGTTCTCTCTTAACAATAATCTTTCCTGTTTGGCTGATAAACACTGGCATATGTGTTAAAAGTTTATCATGTACAGTTTTATCTCTTGCTGTGCATATTCACAGAAGAAAATTTGTGGCTGCTTATGGTCAGCTTGGCTATCAGTTTTCTGAGAGATAATATGAGCTGTGGGAAGCTGCAGTCAGCTTCAATTTTTAGTATTGTCTTTGGGGTCCCTTTTTTTGTGAGATGACTAGATGAGTTCTGTCCTCACCATTGTGCACTAGGTTATCTATGAAAACGGCTGTCATAATCATACTGTGAATGGTATTTTTCACCACAAGTAAGTATTTGCACTGAACATGTAATAGTGCTTTGTTTGAAGGAAAGAGTTTTGGTTTTGGTTTTTTGTTTGTTTGTTTTTTGTTTTTTTTTTTGCTAAACAATCAGTCTAGCTCATGCTGTCAGGTTCTGAATCATATGCAAGCATGGGTTATTTACTGGCTAAAGAGATATACATTCAAAGTATCTAGCTAAATTATTCAAGTACTTTTGGTGACTGTGATGTTGTTATACTGCAATGCTGTAAGCAACCTTATCTTCCTCGGCATTCACATTAGCTCCTTTGTCTTCGTTTTGCAGCTGAGATGTAGTTGCCTCTTTCCCCAGCACCGCCCTCAGTCTGCTGCTCTGATCATATTGCTGGCTATTCAAAACTGGCATCTCATTTCTCTTTCCTACTTAGTTGAAAATGCCCTAGACTTCATTATAGTATCTTCAGTAACCCCCACTGTTCTTACTTTGCTTTCTCATGGCAGCTTTTTATTTGACTGTCCAGTTTGTCTTCTGTGGTAGAGTGCAAGCTTTGCAGAGGCTGGATTACACTGTGCACCTGTCAGTATAGTCTTCAGCCACTGCCCCATAAGAAGATTAAACTCTTATGCAAATCTCTTAAAAGCAGTTCATGATGAAGGGAGGTAAAATTTCTTGTTTTTTTTTTTAATCACGAGTTATTCCAGAAGCATCAGAATAATTTGAATCTTAGATGTGAGATGTTCTGAACCTGTGGGAGATGTAACTCTCAGAGGCTACGTGAGTTATTATTTTTCATAACACCACCACTGAAATTGTGTCCTGTCACATATATAGAGATTATTGCTCTAAGCACATTGTCTGTAATTTAAACTTTCAGTTCTGATAGAATGGAAGCTTTTACTCTGTTTTTAAGAGAAATGCTATTTATTTACATTCCTCTGCAAAAGCCATCCCAGAAGGTTGGTAAGGTAGAAGCAGTCGCCATTCAACCACTGCCAGAGCAAGTGAGGGCTGACTTGGCAGTAATTTAAACACATTGTCTGTGTGGCTTTCCATCTGCTTCCCTTCTCTTTTGACTATCTGCATTTGAGCAAAACTCAAAGAACATAAGCCATCATTTCTTATATATGCCCATCTGGATCCTAGCAAAATGTTTGTTTTATACAGTGTGGTGATTTTTGGTTTTCTAAATGTTACATGAATGGCCTAAGTTTTCATTTCTTTGTTTTGTTTAGTTTAGTTTTGAAAGTGTGGTGACAAACATAGGGGTAAAAGGGTTCACTAAGGACTTCAAAAACTTTTTCCCCCTTTTCTCCTTTTCCCTTTTCCCTTTCATTTTTGTTTAATATCACTTAAGTCTTTCCAAAAGCTAATACATAAAGGAGATTTCTCAAGGTACAATTTATATATAAGCTGGAGCTCTTTGGTAATATTTATTTCTCTCCACCTTGTTGGCAGGTTCCTGTGTTCTCAGTTGCCTAACCAGGTGTTGAAGAGTATCAGCATCATTGACAGCCCAGGCATCCTCTCTGGAGAGAAACAGCGCATAAGCAGGGGTGAGTTGCAGGAGCTGAAAATAACTGAGCACACTTGCTACCTAAGATGGTCTTTTAATATCCTGATTCTGCTTTGCTGCTTTGGAATCCAGTTTTCTTTATCCTTCTCCTTCTTCATTTTTTAATTTAAGAGGAAGTAATGCTTGGCAGCATTCAAGTATCTGCTGCCACTTCCGTAACAGTATGGAAGTGAACATGAAATATCCAGAAAATGGAAGCATTGTTATTGCCAGCATTGAAAAAGTGAGCGAGTGAATGGCAAAATTCAGTGCTGTCAGGGATTGCCAAGGAAGCACCAGTCTTGATAGGCGTGTGGGATAAGGTTGTGTTTCATTCCAGGGTCAATTTCTGAACAATATGGTATGTACCTTATCAATTGTTTTAATGGCCTAATCGGCCTGCCCTTTGATGCAGTAGATTTTCACGTAGACAGTGCTTGGTCATAAGTTTAAGCCCTTTTTGTCTATTAACAGGGTTTTAATTTGACTAGTTATATTTCATCAAGATGTTTTTCAGTGTGTTAAGGATTTTCTCGAATACATAACTTGGGATAATTCTTCAATCAAAAATGTGCTTCTGCTGGATACTGTTTAAATTTAGCCAGCATGGTTGTACCATAAATGAGATTTGGCAGTCAGCATTTGTGGTGTACCTGCACCTTGCTATATGGAGCTATAGGGACTTATTGCATGCTGTTTTGTTTAGGCAATGTTGTGCTTGCCTGTGTTTGAAATATTTTGTAGTCAGATACGTTTCCTTTATATGACTTCTAAATTGCTTATGCAGATCTGATACTAGTGGTTTTGTGGAGTGCAAATTTGACTTATCCTGTGATGCTGCACTGCATGGCCTGTCTGAACTGCTTCTAGAATGACTTCAGCATATGCTAAATGAGCCTAGTTTAGCACATTTTGAAGTTTGAGTGTTTGGATTTCCTTCTTAAATCAAGGAATACAAATGAAAGCAGATTCTACAGGATATTTTCTGTTGTCCTTAAATATGCCTCTATCAGACAAAATTCTGTTCCTAACTGAATAAGGTGACAGCTTGTGCTCTTTGCTGTTGGAGCTGCCATTTCCTTTCACTGAATTTGGTTACAAGACTTAAACATGGGCGCTCTTTTCTTTGCTTGCCAGGAAGCTCTAAACATACCTGGAGATTCTTTAGCAGAATTTCTTTTCTGAGAACTTCAGACTTTTGTATTTCAAAATTTTACAGGGTTTTAATTTTTGCTTGCTTGTTTTGTTTCTTTTTTTAGTCTTCATCATCTTTTTATTTCTTTTTAAGGTCAAGTTTTGCTAATGAAACTTCATGCTATTTTCTAAAGGATATACATAAAATGAGATTTTTCATAATGCAACAATAGAATGTGACATGAAATAATGCCTCAGAAGCGTTATTATTAGTTGCTTTCTATCCTGTACATGATTGGTGCTTATTCATGTCTGAGTTGTTCAGTTAGGTTTCTAGAGGAGGAATTATAGAATCATTTTAGTTGGAATGGACCTTTAAAGGCCATCTAGCCAACCTCCCCTGCAAGGACAAGGACATCTACAGCTGGATCAGTGTGCTCAGAGCCCTCCAGCCTCACCTTCAGTGTCTCCAAGGAAGGGACACCCAGGAAGTTTAGCTTATTTTTTTTCTGGCTGTGTTTTAGCATGCTTGATGGAAGAGTAAAAACCATTCTTAGGTTACAGGACCTCAACTTCACTCCTTTCATCAACAAGCACATATCAGCTTTTAATTTCAAAATACAGGAAAAAATTTAAGGGACTGCAGAAATACTGGTGGTGCATTGCTTCCCAGCTTGTTATATCTATAGCCCTGGAAAGCTGACAAAGTGGCCAAGGATGAATTGCTCTTTGAAAAGCTGATTGCTTTCTGGAGGATCAAAAATGTGCAGTGAGGACAATATTCAAAGCTATCTTTTTTTCTGATGCACCTTTCCTGCTCCTGTTGTCAGTAGGAACATTTGCCCGAAGCTTCCTGCCTGTCAGTTCACTGTCTGTGTAAGTGACTCGATGAGAAAGTGCAGATGTGTGCTGGCATTGTCCCATCAGACAATGGCTGTCCCTATGCTGCTGCCACCCCGTGAGTGCGCGAGGAGGTTCTGCAGCATTGCTGGGGACAAAAGCTGATTTCAGACACAAATGTGGGTACAGTCTGCAATATTTGGAAGGAACAATGAGTGTAAGGAAAGGAGAAAGATGAGGCAACGGCTGCCAGGGTGTGGGGAGGAACTGCTTTGAGAAAGGGAGGAGAATTTGATTCATGGCTGTTAGATTGGTTGTCCTCAGCAGGATTAAAGTAATTACTCAGAAAATGTGGTGGCTTCTCCTCTTGTAGTGTTCAGGGACCACACCTCGATGATTTTACTGAAAATGCCATTGAATGCATGGTGACAGAAAAGGAAATGTACATTTTTCTGTCTGGGAAGCTAACTGGTACCAAAACCTAAGCCAAAAGTTTAAAGAAGCATGGGGAAAGAGCTCATCACAAAATGCAGGATGTTGCTTACCTTGCATTTTTTAGAATCAGAATTATTAGATACTCATAATTTTCTCAGTTCTGTGTTGTTTCTGAAAATGTAGTTGAATATTAGGAAATGTGATGTATGTAGCAAAGCAATGTGTCAGGCTTTCCCTGCAGTGATGCACTGTAATCCTTGGGATCTGGCTGCCAACAGGAATGCAGTTTTTTATTGGCATAACTGGAAATTCACCCCAGGACAGCAGAGTTAGCAAAAAAAAAGAAAAAGAAAAAAATTGTATTTTTGTGTGGGACTGAGCTGCGTTTGAAATAGTGGGCAAGTTTAGGTGCATGCCTGTCCCATAACAAGAAAAGAGCAGTCGACTTTTTTCTGACAACAGCTGTTCCTATCCAGGTCCACAATTTGTGTGTTTGCAGGCTTGTTTTTATGGCAATTGCTCCAACACTCTGCATACCCCAGTTTCATGAAGTGAGTGGATACTGGAGGCTCTTCACTGCAGCATTCATCCATGAGTTACCTGCGTGCTGCTGCTGCAGTAACACCAACCCCAGGGGTGGAAGAACTGGATGCTCTGCCTGTCCCTGTTGACAGAGGTTGGGTGCCACCCATCAGGTTCTCCCTGATTGTTTTCTGAGTTGGAGAAACTCTGGGAATGGTGTTAGGGCAATCTGGAAATCATTTACTTTTCTCTCAAAAGGAGAAGTCTATCATTTGTCTTAATCTTTGTTACTGACTGGCACAGAAAATTGACCCCACTTGTACTGCATGATTGCATAGCTGTGGGGCTCGTGATTGTTGTGCCTACGGCTGGTACTTTGCCCTGGGCCACTGAGACATAAGAATGCACATTCATTGCTCTCATCAGTGTTTTGCAGACCTGGTCAGCTCGCACCGTATCTCTCCCAACTTTTTTATCTCATCCACATCATTCTGTTTTGTTCTCTGTCTCCTTGCTGAGCATGTTATTGTCACCTGATCCTGGTGCCTCTGCTGGAGGCATTGGCTCCATCCCACCTGAAGCTCAGGATGAGCTGAAGTGTTCTGCAGTGCTGTTCATTGCTGCTCCCTTCCATCCCTTAGCTGGGTATGAGGGTGACTTGTGGCTTTTTAATGTGCACTTGCAAGTAGAAGTAACTTCTGAAACACCCTTAGTCTGGATATAGTAGTTGACAGTAGTCTTTGGAACAAACTTTTGAAGAAGTAGCAACAGTAGAGCAGCAAAAGGCTGAGAAGCATCTACACTTCTTTCGGAGAGGAGGTGCTGGGCTGGAATATCAGTTCCTGGTCAGAGTTCGCTTACTTACTCAACAAGATGAGTCACATGCATACCCAGCCCAGTGCCATATCATTTGTGGTGAGAGCAGATAGAATGTGTCACTTCCAAATTAAAGAGTTCCTGAATGCTTTTTGATGTCTGGATTAAGCTTCCATCTGCATTCATAAAAGCATTCAGACAGGCACTACAAGCTGTCTCTCCTTCAGAACATCAAAAAGTCAGTTTCAAATGGTCAAAAAGGTCACTGCTGATGTGTGTTCTGTAACCTGTCACATCCTCAAAGCCATCAGCACATCACTTGTAAGTTGGATTTCAGAGTTTGCTGTGGCAGAAATAACAGCAAGTGTTGCAATGCAAAGAGATAGGAGCTTGGAAATGGTTTTTAAATCCAAAAATTTTTGATTGGTGACTTAGGCTGAAGTGCTGCATTTGCACTTGTTAGTACAGATAGACGGTGCCTTCAGAGTGGCTGACATTAACAGTGAGAGGAGATCCTATGATAAGAGCCCCACAGAGATGCTCAGCTCACTCTCCATGCTGAAATCAGAACCTCTGGAAAGAGGCAAACGTGAGTGTAAGCTGGTAACTAACAGCAACATGAAAGATTGTAGCATCGGTGATGGATGGAAAGGTTGAGGAAAATCAGAAGGGTAGCAATATTAACAAAAGGTGGTAACAGTGAAACCTGTCTAAAGAAATGTAGGATACAGTTGTTTTGACCTCACTGTCCATTCTTTTCTAGTTGGTCCACCTCTTCTTTTTCTCCAGGGAGATGCTATCATCCCCTTATTCTACACCCTACCTTAAATTTTCTGAGATTCTCTCCTCTGAGCAGGAAAACTGTAATAGTGTATTTTCTCCTCAGGCTATGACTTCTGCCAGGTCCTGCAGTGGTTTGCTGAGAGGGTCGACCGCATCATCCTCCTTTTTGATGCCCATAAGCTGGATATATCTGATGAGTTTTCAGAGGCCATAAAGGCATTCCGGGGCCAGGATGACAAGATTAGGGTCGTGCTTAATAAGGCCGACCAGGTGGACACACAGCAGCTGATGAGGGTCTACGGTGCACTCATGTGGTCCCTAGGAAAGGTGATCAATACTCCAGAGGTGCTGCGGGTCTACATCGGCTCCTTCTGGGCCCAACCTCTCCGAAACACAGAGAATCGAAGGCTCTTTGAAGCAGAGGCACAGGATCTTTTCCAGGATATCCAGAGTCTCCCTCAGAAGGCTGCCGTGCGGAAGCTCAACGATCTCATTAAGAGAGCAAGACTTGCGAAGGTAAAGATGTTAGCTAAATTAACTGAGGATTTTTTTTTTCTGTGTGCCCTTTCTCATCCTTCCCAGTTTTTCTCTACCCAGTAGAGAATCAGTAAATTGATTGAATGGTCTGTTTTTCAAGAAAGAAGATGCAGAGGTAAATAAGAGGAAATAAAGACTTGTATTGGAAAGCCTCCCTAACTTTAGAGCTGATCACTACAATCAGATCATTTTTAGGCATTTCTATGTAACATAAAATAGAAATGAATAAAGGTGAATACAAAACACAGTGCCTATGAGGCATGTGTATCAGCTCAGGAAGGAGAATAAGTTGTATATCTTTAGGATAGCAGTAGTGTAATTCTTCCAATGTCATCTTTCTGCCCTGTGCTCTGAACTTTGATTATTTAAATTATTTAATTATTGATTCAAACATCTTTACAGCATTGCATGGTATTTTTGGCTCTATTTCTATACGACTCTGTTCTTAAGCCCTTCTTAAACACGTTCAGTAACCCAAAACAAGTGCAAACTCTTAACTTCCTGTCAAATTTGGGTATTAGACAACTTTTTTTTTTTTTTTTTTTTAAGTCCTGTGACTCACTTTCCCATTCTGATGAGAATTCTTCTTATCTTTAAGAAACATACATGCCTTTTGGCACACACCAGCGAAACTGTTAGTGCTTGTCAACTATAGACGTAATACTTATTTAAAAAAAAAAAAAATCAGAAAAGTATTTTAAACATAATAATTTAAGACATGCAAAGACAAACTGGTTACACTATTTTATTTTATAAGCAAATATATATTTTTTCCAGATTCTAGTAAGATTCTAAATGAATGTAGTAAAAGAATGGAACCATATTTTCCCTGCATAAATTATGTGTAAGGTTTATACAGAATACTGTAGGACACATACTGCTGTGGTTTGGTGGTGTTAATTATACTCATTGCCATATAGGCATCCTCATGTTTTAATACTGCTGCTTTTTTGTAGTAGTCTGTCTTCCCCCAGGATTGTCCTGGACCATATTGCTCACTGCCTGGCCACACAGATCCTTTTGTTGGTGAAAGGTGATGGGAGGGCACCAAGGGGAAGAAATGTATGGCTTGGGGAAGAGTGGATGGAGGATCAGTATATGGGATGGATGCTGGTTTATCTTGGTCACAGCAGATCAGAAACTCAAAGAATTCTGAAGTATCCAAGTGGTTTAGGACTTGTTATCCTAAATTAATGCCTTTACTTATATGATAGAATGGCTTTACTTTTCTTCCTGATGCTTTGCACAGCAACCAGGGCATGCTGTTACTATAGCATACTGACTGCTCTGTCATCCTTCTGTGGCTACATAAATATAGACTGTATGCGCTCGCTTTTCTCTGAGTAAATAGGTAGGAATGCAGTGTCACTTCAATTAGATAGCCCAGCCACTTAACATGCTGGGATTACTCAAGCCATTACCAGTTGCTTTTCACAATAATTGGCAAGACAAGTAAATAGTGTTACAGCTCTCCACTGATGACATGGATGGACCATCCAGCTGATGCTGTCTGTACAATCCGTGAATGTAGTGTCAGAATGACGTCTCTATACAGATAAAATGCTGTGCAACGCTCCTCAAACTGCACTCAATTTTCTTTTCCCCAAGTGTACATCTGTGTTTTTTTAAATGCAGTTGATTTCATTTTTCCCTTAAATGGACTGCTGACAGCAGCAAAATCTATTTGACAACTCTTTCTCTAATTGCAAGATTCCACAAACAACGGTTGATAATGTTGCCCTTTGAGGTATCTTAGGGAGTATATTCTTTATGCTTACTTTTGTGACCTGGGTGAAGAACACTAATGTTGTTAAGCTTAGATAAGCACTAGTATTGATTTTAACTTTGCTTCTTCTTAGGTACATGCTTATATCATCAGCTATCTGAAAAAAGAAATGCCCTCTATGTTTGGAAAAGAGAACAAGAAGAAGGAGTTGATCAGCAGGTTACCTGAGATCTATAGCCAGCTGCAAAGAGAATATCATATCTCAGCAGGGGACTTCCCTGAAGTCAGGAAAATGCAGGTAAAATGATAGTTTGCACCTACTCAAATCATATTAATTTTCCAACAAGATTGCCAAATTAAAAAAGATAGGACCGAGTGTCTCAGCATGATAGTTTGGAGCCTTCAGGCAAACGGCAAAGGAGTAACAGAAATAACAATCAGTTACTCATGTTAGTATGACATGGAAGCAGCACAAAATGAAAATGACTGATAATTTCCTTATTGTGTCCATTCGCAGATACAAGACCATAGAAATTGCTTTAAGGAATGAGAACTGACCTTTTAGCCAATATTTGGTCTCTTGTGGCAGAAAATACTAAACATTTCTGAAGATGCTGCAGATAAAATTGGGGTGTCCTAAACATGGGTATTTGTACCGCTTTTGTATTGCTAACAGATATTTGGATAGGTGAAGATACCTGTAGTCACACATTACTCACGTTCACCTTCCTCTGTTCTTGCACTCACTGATACTGTTTGCCAATAACAAAGGCATTGTATTATGTGAAAAGTGTGCCTTAAAAGCTTTTCAGTTTTTTTTCCTGTCCTTTTGAGATTGTATTATGTGAAGAAGAAAGATAGAAGTTCATAGTTTATACTTGCATTGTTAAGTTTTAAGTATGTCATCTTTTTTTTTTCTTTAACTCAGTATAGACTTCTGGCCACTTCCTTTAGAGAAAGACAGCGGTTGTGTTATCAATGCTTTTCCATTTATTATCCAAACTTCAGTTCACAATTCTTTGATCTCAGATCATTGGCATCTTATATGATGTTTGAATTAGAAGATAACTAATCTTCCAAGCTGATGAACTTGAGAGAGGAGCTAGTCACGTCTGTGATGGAGAATGTTTTCTGGACGGGCATTTATATAAAACTCCCAATTTATGTGGGATATTTAAATTATTAAACATATAGAGTGATGGCTGACTATTTTAATCTGTCTATAGGGATGCGCAAGTTTCTTCTATGAATTAAAAGATTTAACTTAGGAATCAATTGTTTGCATGAGACAGTAACTTGTAGATTTAGTACAAGATTTTCACAGGCAAGATTACTGAGAAAGGATTTCTTAATGTTAGGTTTTAGAGGGACAAGTTGAGCTTTTTAGAGGGTTTTGCAAGGGACAAGTTGAGCTTTTCTTCCCTTTGCCACTTTTGTTCACAATAGGAAATAAGAAATATTACTTCTCAGTTGGGCTATTGAAACAATTTGCACACAACTTTATCATATTAGTAGTGTATATCACTAAACTTCAGCAGCAGATGGCAGCAAATGTATACATGAAAGACCATTTCTCTACTGAGGAAAAAACAATGAGAAAATAGATAGCAGATTTGACCTTTGCTTTCTAAGATGTATTGCACATAATAAATCTAAACTGCTCAGTTGCCACAAGTCAGGTGATTGTGAATAAATATTCACCTGATTATGCATAAAATTCTGATTATGATTGTGCATAAAATTCATCTGATTTCAACCTGATCTTTGTTGGTTGGAAATTTTTCCTTGGAGAAATCCCAACTTCTTTGTGCACAGGTGAAGTAACTTCTCTGTGCCTCAGGTTTCTATGTTTATTATAGTTCAGATGTGTAGAGAAGTAGCTTCAACATCATCTGTTTAAGCAGTTTAATGCCATTCTATTTTTGTTAGGTTTTTTCTAGTGTTGTGGGTTTTTTGTGTGTGTTTGTGTGTAGGTATGTTTCACAGAATCGCAGAATGGCCCAGATTGGAAGGGACCTCAAGGATCATGAATCTCCAACCTCCTTGCCACAGGCAGGGCCACCAACCTCCCCGTACTAGACCAGGTTTCCACCGTGCCTCTCTTTTTCTGGATAGTCTTTTGCATGTAGAAAAACAAAAAATATATTTTTAAATATTTCTATGGTCTGACACAGGACTTGCTTAGACTTGTGTTGAAATAGGGCATCTCACCTAGTTAAAAATCTCACTGGGGTTAGTAGGAGTTTATGTAGAAGATGGAAACTCAGCAGGGATGAAATGATTTCATGACTTATGGCAGCTCTTCAAAACATCACTGCTGCTCTTAACCCGACTCAACCTAACTTTTCTATTGATAAATGATATTGCTTCATGACCTACCCACAGAAAAGAAGCTTAATCTATAAAATCAGAGCAGTCTTGGTAACTCCTGGATTTATTTTTAACCTTAAGCACTTGCAGTAGGGCTAGCAGGACTAAGGCCCTACACACATACTTACAAGGGAGTATGCAAGTCGGGCTTTAGTCCTGCTAGCCCTTCTGCATACTCCCTTGGAAGTATGCAAGTAGAAAAAGTCATCAAATGAAAAGTTGTTAGGTAACATTGTCAAATGCTCTGTTCTTAAGCACTGCCATTTTGAAAATCAGGTTGTAAATGTAGTGTTCGCTTTGCTTCTCTTTCAAGGCAAATTCCAGTTTCAGTTATGGAAACTACTTCAAAAAATTACAGGTTATTTTCATTTGAAATCCATTCCCTATCATTTTCATTGTACCGAAAGCTTTTCTAACTACTGTCACCATAACCTTTTTTATGTCATTGACAGGAGCAATTGGAGATGTGTGACTTCACTAAATTTCACTCTTTGAAACCAAAGCTAATTGAAGCTGTGGATAACATGCTGGCCAACAAGATTGCCTCCCTGATGAGTCTCATCACCCAGGAAGAGAGCAATATGCCCACAGAGATGGTACATGGTGGGGCGTTTGATGGCACCATGGCAGGACCTTTTGGCCAGGGATATGGAGAAGGTGCAAAGGAAGGAGCTGATGAAGATGAGTGGGTTGTTGCCAAAGATAAACCTGCTTATGATGAGATTTTCTATACTCTATCACCAATCAATGGCAAAATATCTGGGATCAATGCAAAGAAAGAGATGGTGACTTCCAAACTGCCCAACAGCGTTTTGGGTAAGATCTGGAAGCTTGCAGACTGTGATGGTGATGGAATGTTGGATGAGGAGGAGTTTGCATTAGCAAAACATCTCATTAAGATTAAACTGGATGGATATGAACTGCCTGGCACACTACCTCCCCACCTGGTGCCACCGTCTCACAGGAAACCATTGCAGACAGCGGAGTGAAAAATACTAAGGGAAGGATGAGGATTTTGGATATATTTCAACAAATGTTTTGAAACTACCAACATTTTAAATTAAGCTTAGATATTTAAACCCTCACAACACATTTCACGCACATTACTGAAGTCAGAAGCAGGGAAATGTTTGTGTATTAGTCCCTGCTGACCATCACTGAGAAACGCTTATCCACAAGTGCCTTGTATAAATCTATCATAATGTGTGATGGTAAGGTGATGCTGCTTCCATATTTTGCTGCCTCTACAACCATAAAGCAGTGAAAAAAAATCCCATTTATTGAATAGCTGACCTTCACCAAATGTAGACACTTAAGCAACCACAAGTTTGCCTAAACTATTTATTTTAGTTAATGCAAGGAAGCTCTAAATGTTACATTCACCTGCCCAAACAAAGAACCTTTACTATGCTAAAAGCCTACTTCAAGTGAATGTTAGCATCTCTTTCATTATATCTTATTTTAATTGGGAGTACAGTAAAATAGGAGTTGTGGCAGGAGCCTTTAAGAAGTGCTCAGAATATGACCAGACTTGTTTATGACCAGACTGGTTTTAAAACTTCAGTACTTAGAGCTAAAAAGTACAAAATATATTTCTATTTGTCATCACTGTGTCTTATCTGAATATCTGCTGCTTTGGATTTGTACAGCACTATATACTCAGTATTATTGTTGAAAGAACAGAATCTCCTTTCTTCTTTGGCTGTAGAGTTTCTTTTGAGGCTTCAGTTTAGCTGCACTGCAGACAAATTCCTGAATGTTTCAAAGTGAGAGCAGAATGCTTTCATAAGTTTGAAAAAACATAAACTGGTTTTCATTGAAATAAAGCCTCAGATTCTGTTCAGAAAGAAAAGGTGCTCCTTTTGAAGTCAGCATCTTCAAAGTACCTTGAATTGTCTCAGAAGATTTTCATGGTATTTAATTCCTATTTACAGGTAATTATACAGGTATCTGTATATATTATTTTATATACTTTTTTTATTTTTTAGGGAAGTTTTTGTCTGTATCTTTTGCCAACACATAGCTGACACCACCAAAGAGAGACTGGATTGATATGGTGGCAGATTTGAGAGATGGAGCCACTAACAGGGATCTTTACATCAATTGAAATAAAGTTGTAGACTGGCCTCTCCAAATATTTTTCCTTTATTGGAAACAATCCACAAAAGGAATAGATGCTTAGTAAACATTCATTTTTCTAACAACGCAATCAAAATGTTAAACATACTAATTTTTATCAGTACCTTAAAAAAAGTTAAATTTTTGGCCCTGTGAACTTTAGTCTTTTGGGGAGGGCCAGTTCATTTTGAAGTCACACTTTGCAGTTAGGTTAGGTCTATGACTGGGAGCAAGAACTGACTTGTACTCCACCATCTGTACTATGAAATGCCCTGCATATCAAAGGTACTGTAACTTCAAGCACTTTTTCTTTGAGTCTCAGTAAGGGGTAGCAATAGTGCCTTCTGAGACAGAACAAGCCAAAAAGTGTTTTAGTATCCTTGCAGCAGTACTGGGGAGGAAAATAGTTTGAGTGTAGTGTCCAAGTTAAGACTTCAGTCAGATTTGTAGGTGATTTAAGAAGAGCCTCAGCTTTTTCTTTAAATCATACATTTATAAATTTTCAGTCAAGTTTCATACTTTAAATCTTTCCAGACCTTCTATCTTCCTGCATCTTTTCTACTCTGATGTGAAACTACCATGAAATTTGTGACTGCACTAACACGTGAAAAAATAAAGCTATTTTAAGTAGTGACAGAAAATCACCTTTACCTTGCCAGGTGTCCAGGCCGTGTCAAAGATATTCTGGCATAGTTGATCATTCTTGTGGACTTGCTCTCTTTCATTTGTCTTAGTTTTGTTCTATTATCATTCAATTACACCATCTTTATTTCTATTAGACCTATGTTAGGAGCCAAAATAGCCTTTGTGCATTTCTATTCTCTTCCATAGAACTGTGAAATTTAACTGTGAACCTACTGTATTTCTGCAGAGTAACCCATTTTCTTTGTAATTTATTTCTGATTGAACACAAGGTATCATATAGACATTGCAAGGGTGTTATAAGTCAGGCTGCACCAGTAGTAATATATGTAGTGTCTGCAGTCAGTGACAAATTTGTGCAATAATGACCAACTAGATCAGCATTGCAAGGACAATTACCAAGAAAAATAGAGAGCTTGCATATTGTGACCACTGTAGAGTGTGAAAAGCTGAAGAAAGATGTTGATCTTCCAACTCTGTCTTACCTTGCTCTTCTGCTGAACAGGATTCCAGGGTGGACCTGTGTTTGAATTCCCACTACATGTAGCTAATCAGGGTTATACACCAAATGCATTGGAGCTGTGTGATCCCATGCCAGTAGAAATATCCTCCTGCAGTGAAGGGAGAGGGGCAAAATAGTTTCTCAGTGATTTATTTATTTTTTCTAGTTTTATTGGTAGTAAAATAGACAACACAGCCTTTTATTCAGACTCCATGAGAATGTGCTAATTTGGACTAGAGGAGACAAACTGAAATGTGTTGTTTTGATAAGTTAAAATACTTCACTTAGATACAGTTAAAATGATTGGCTCTTTTCCTGCAAGACTTGAAGGGGAAGGGAAATGCAAGAAGCATATGTAGTAAAAGAGGTGGATTTGCTCTGTTGATCTGAAGGAGTAAAAGCATGCAGAGCTATGCACATAAGTATATATGCAGATATGTGGCGCCATGCACTGGGTGTCTTAACAGAGGTCATACTTAGTTGATAGAAATTCAAGTACATTTCACTTGGACTTTAAACTGCAATTTCTTGCACAGCTAAACCAATCTAGTAGGGTGCTGTTGCTCAGGGGATGTAATCTGGATAGTGCTCTGCTGAGTTAGTGAGCCAGTGTGTGGAGTATGAGAAGAGGGGAAGGGAGCAGGATTGCCTTCTCATGAAATTGTGCTCTAGGTAGTTATTGGGAACATCAATAGTAGATCACCTTTGTTGTTTGGTTGATATTGTTATTAATCTCTTCTCGAGAAAGAACAAGGTCCTGGATTTGTGTCATCTTATGTTTAGGATTCTGATTACATTTTCTGTGAGATCATTCAAAACTGCCAAGAATTCATCCTGTGAAATCAGTGCTTGTTGGTGTAGCCTGCTGCTGTAAGCCCAAATAGAGACTGCTGCTTTTTAGCTCTTCTCCAACTGTTCTGCTACAGCTGTAATTCCCAACCATAATTCTGTTACCATAGAAATCAATTAGATTTTTGTTGTAGATTGGAAGAGAAAATGTGGGATAACTGTTCAAAGGTTACAGGACCTACACTACAGGACAGCAAAAGACATTTAAAACTGTGAAAGTTTGAAAATGATGAGTTTGCAGAGATCTTCAGATAGGGATGAGGTCCCAGTTGTTAGTTAGGAGTGGTGTGGAACCCGGTATAAAAGCAGCAGTATCTATCTGGTCCCTGACTTGAAACATCATTCATCTACAGTACTTGAAATGTACCCTCTTTCTTCTCACTTCCTTCCATTCACAATATGCACTCAGTTTGGTGGAATTCAAGCAAAGAATTTGAAGTATATTAGGTATGTATAACTTAACATGGAGAAAATGAACATGAACTTTTTCTACTTCACATGCTTACCTTTTCTAATACATTTGTTAAATACTGTGTTTTCCCTTCAAAGGCACTCGTTTATTTTTGAGGGAGTTTGACCTGTGCAGAGCGTTTCACTTTGTCTAGTTAGGCAAACTAAATTCATTGTTATTGCACTTTTATTATACAATAAATTCCTTGCAGATATTGTAATATATTTTAATATGCTTTGTAATCATTTTTAGGAAGTGATGATAAAGAATGCTGATTCAATAAACTAATATTGAACTACCTGACATTTTTGTTTCTATTTTTCTTTCTGAAAGGTAACCTTTCAGTAGCCAGATTTTTTTGTATTCTTCTACTTAAGGCTCAGGCATAGTAGCTATTTGGCAAGCTGTTTCTCACCTCAGTTTATGTTTCTATAACAGGTTGTGGTTATTCCTCTTCTGCGTCCTTGAACTTGTTGCTGAAAATCAAGGCTTGATTCCTGAATCTAAATTTATATTTAAAAGGAAGAAGAAGAAAACAATGCTCCAGCACATATCACTAATTAGCTTTTTATAGAAGAATATAATTTTGAAGTTTCTCAGTCTAAGTATGGAATTTTCTTAAAGTCCAAGGCTGGAAGATTAATCAACATAGAGGTAACTTCCTGCGCAGCATGAAAGCTTGAAACTTGAGATGGGGGAGGTGTTTCGACTTAAGTGGGGTAGTCACCTTGAAAATAACAGTAGAATGAATTCTAGTGAAGCAAAAGTATTTGTTAATACATTCTTCAAAAACAATTCAAGGACGTCTTCCATGCTGTGCTACCTACTGCTTATAAATGGCTAATTATATCAATAGAACATTAGTGTTATGCTTAAATTCCACCTGCCTCTCTCCTTCCCCCTGTATATATATAATTCATTTGAAGCACTCCAAAGATGAGATCTCTGTCAGCAGGATACTGTGGTTCAGCTACTGCTCCTATACTACCAAATCTAAGTTGCTGCAAAGTTAGAGTTTTGTGGGTGGCAATATTAGCATTGGCAAGCTGTGCTGTTATGCTTGTGGTGATCACACACAAGTCATATGGAAGAATGTTTCATGTGCAAACAGTATGTTATGTATTCCTTGAGGTTACAGTGTTGTTCAATTGCAGTGGTTTGTTTTAGCTGTTCCTTTTAGAAAGTCAGAAATAGTTTGGAGAAGATTATCTTTAATGGGGTTTGGAGATGGTTTCTTTCAGTTTGTTTTTTTGGGGGGAAGAGGGTCAGTTTTGGTGTTTTTCATAGTCCACATACAAAACATTTCAACCTGTAAAATACACAGCACACTTCAAGTTTAGATATTTTCCTCTAATCCACTCCATATTTGGGCAGTAAGAAAAGTGGGCATCTATGCTATCACCAGTTCAATGGTAAGTTTTGCAGAAGATGATAGTTCTAATATTTGGCATCCTTTAGGTGTCAAATATTTCTTTCTGCCTACCATACTATTTAATTTCTCCTTTTTTTTTTTTTTTTTTTTTTTTTTTTTTTTTTTTTTTTTTTTTTTTTTTTTTAAGTTCCTACTTTTGGAGTATTTGTTAAGGGCTTTGGCATAGATGCTATTTTGAGTTTCTCTCATCCAAGGCTAGAGCAGGGATGCTCTTATGCTGCAACAAGTAACAACTGTGAGCCCAGGTAACTTTCCAGAAATCTTGACCTGTGAGCTAAGCTGCTTGATTTATGCAGTAAGTCCTTGGAAAAAAGATTTGGGTGCTTTACCCTCCTTATACAGGTGGGCAAACATATTTGTTCTGGAAAAAGCTGTCTCCCTTTGTTCAGGATTCATGGCAGTGAGCATCTGGAAATAAGTGCCCAAACCCAGCAAACACCTGCAATGATAAACACACATAGAGATGCACGTGTTTGTCCGTTTTATTTAGCTTTCTGAGGGAAAGATGCCATTTCCCATGGAAATCATGATATTCTGAGATGGGCTCATCTCCCTTTCCCCACAAGACTGCATATTACCCCAGATTTCTACCTGGTGATGGAATGTGGACACTCAGTTACTTTCTATCTGTTCTCAAAAATACTAGAAACTGTGTAATGCCAGGTCTAACTAGTTATCCTGCCTATTCTTTTCTTTGAGTTGGAGCTTGTCTTATTCTTTCCAAGGTGTTGATAGCTTGGCATTCTATATGCCTCTTCAGTCTGGAGCTCTGAATGCTTCACTGTAGCAAAATCAGCTGATTTTGCAGTGCTGGAAATTAATGAACTAACTACACAAACTGTTATGATACAGAAGAACTGGATGGCATCTTTCTATCACCAGATAATATATTTCAGAGATTCAACGCTATGAGATTCTATGATTATTATTTTAGTTCAATATTTTAACCAAGGAACTGTTGAAAGATGCTCCTCATGTTTATTGATTTCCTTGTTCAGACTATTTTTTTTTTTCAAAATGGGTTCATTTTGTCTACCCTGAAAAAAAAAGGAAAAAAAAAAAAAAAAAAAAAGGAAAACAAACAGCAATGTATCGATAACTGGTAAGTTCTGGACTTCACAATTTCAGCCTACAGTGGACAGTAAATGCAATTTTTCTTTATTTTGCACTACTCTGTTTTATCCCTTGTCTGGTAAAATTTGCACAATTAAGAATGTGAACTGTTTATATAATTCTTTGCCAGTTACATTCATTTATTCAGCCTGACTGAGTGATCTTCAGGAACAGGTGCATGTAGGCTGGGAGGGAGCTGCAATAGTAATAGGCTGTCTGGGGCAATGGGGGATTGAAACCTGAGAGCCATCCCTGTGAGTAGGATGCAGTACTCTGGCACTAGGGTTGGTGAGCACCGATCTGCACAGAAATCTCACTGTTTTTTTCACTGATAAACAAGGGTAAATACTTCATCACTCCAATGTCCCCTAAAATAGAGCTGCTAAGGAGAAGAATTTTTGTCCTTCATCTGACAGTTGTCTTCCAGAGTAACAATGAGTAGCAATCAAAAAACCTGAATCACAAGGATAAAAATGCACTACTCAGATCTGAGATTACCAACACAGAGATTTCTAAGACCATTTTCAATATAATGTTCAAACTACAAAGGCTATTCTGTCACTTGAAGCCCTTTATCTACATTTCTCTGAAATGAAAAGAGAATTAAAGTCATCTGTCACATGTGCTCATCCCGCAAACTCTTTGAAGCGCTTACGTTAACTGTTTGAGGTTCAGAAACAGAAGGAAATTTTCAAGATAACGTAAACAGCTGCAAGGAGAAAATGCTTTTATTTCATGACTAAACAAGCAAATGTATATTTTCTGTGTTTCAAAAAGATGAGTGAATTTCTTCATGCCAGGAAAAATAAATCCATCTGATTTTGCTTTAAACTGTCCTCTTTTTCAAATGCAGTGAGGGGTTCCCACTTCCTTTGCATGATGTAATTCAACTGTTCTGCTTGAATTCTGTTCCCCGTTGATGTCATGTAGCCTCTAGCCAACTATTCAAAGCAGAAAAGCCGCTTCTAGTTTAGACCAGAGTGTGATGAGGCTGAAGTTTTTAATAAGCCTGCATCCTAGGATGCTGGTTTAGAATCTTACAGACAGAGCTTAGCTGTTGGAGGAGCTAGAGCTTCATTGGCGGGGGTCACTGCCTGCAGGCAGATGTCATCCCAGGGTGGCTGGCAGCATCGAAGGAAGGCAGGTAAGTGGGGAATGGTGGAGAGTGCTCTGGGGAGTGGTGAGCTGGATGCCTGAGGGGAGGGAAGCCAGGAGCAACATTTGGCTGTTCAGTGACAAAGTTCAGCTGGGAGGCCTATAAAAACAGGGAGGCTGTATAGCTTGATGGCTGGAAGTCTCCACGCCTTTTCTAAGGTGCTTTTGACTATCTCCCTATCTGTTTCTCAGCCTTACTATCCCTAATGAGTAAGTAGAGTAAGTAGCTTCTTGTAGTACTTACTTCCTTTGGTGTTCTTGGTGTTCAAAAAATGGTCTGTCACAGAGGTCTGAGAATAGCCATAACTCTGGGACACAGTGCATACCACCTGTGTCTACACTGCCTCATCATGGCCAGATTTCAGCTGTGGGCTGGAGCTTTTCTGGGATATTTCCAAGCCTCTTGGGTGGCCAAATGCCAAAGCCATGCTAGGCAGCTGGTGAGGCTCTGGTAGACATGAGAAGAGTGGGGATTGTGCTTTTGTTTCCACCTATGCTGCAAATACCTACTCCTGACGATCCTTAAAAAGTAGAAATATATCATGGCTGTCCAACCTTTTGGCTTGCCTGGGTCACAATGAGTGAAGAGGAATTGTCTTTGGCCCCATATAAAATATACAGTACAGTTAAAGTAGATAATAAACAAAATATGTATTTATTATTAAAACAGTAAAAAGCAACAAAACCATAAAGCTAGTGGGATGCAATTCCTAGTGAGTTCTCAAGGTGTTTGTCAGAGATTTTTGATGAAATTTTACTCTTCCTTTGTTTCATTCTTGAAAACAGTTGTTCGTAAATATGTGTACTGCCAAAAAGTGATCACATGAATAATGTGTGATTATGAAGTAACGGATATTTTTCTGTGGTCAGATAAGGCTTAAAGAAGTCTGGTAAAGAGACACGATCAAATTTCTTTGAGTATTTTATCTGATTGAAACTCTGTATGTTCCATTTGAAAATTCACAGATACTACATTCATGCTGACTGAAAAGGGAGTCACAGATTGATGATATTTTCAACTATTGAAACCTATTTTCAAATTCCTTTATCAAAATGGAAAGCACAGCTGCATATTTTTCACAGTTCACAGGACTGTTTTTAGCCAATATCATTGGCCATAACTTGAGTTAGCACTGCACTGCACCCCCCCTGTGACCTAGTTTCAGTTAAAATAGTGTTAATAGGACATTAATGTGTGATTGTTGCTGAACAGTGGGTGCAGGCCCAGGGCTGGGCTGGGCCATTCGGTAGGGCAGAGTTGCTGCCATGGTGGCACCAGGCAGGGGGCAGACACAGTGCCAAGGCCACATGTGGGCTGTGTGTGGGCATGCTTGGATTACATGAAACTAGTGTAGAAAGATAAATCAATAGTGGTAGCAGGGATAAGAAACTGTCCACCAACTGTGGACCTATCCCATGTGTGTGCCTTGGTGAAGGGAGGGCAGCCTGCAGGCTGCTGATTCCTGTTTGCACTTATTGGCATGCTTTGATCTGCCAGATTGGCCCACCTTCCTCTTCACAGTCAAGGCCCAGATGTTTGATGTGTGGAGATTTTTACATGTGGAAGCAACATTGCTTGAGACATGGTAGGGGGCAGAGGGCTGAACTGTCTTGCACGTGTTTGCATTTATTTTCTTTGAGATTTGGGGAACCTTCTCCTTAGTGGATCTCAAGTGTGTTGTTTTTTTTACACATACCCTCAGGGACACATACACAAAACATACCTGATGGTACAGAGAGTAACAGGCTGTGCCAAACCTTTCATTTCAGCCAATAGCACAAGCTCAGTCCTCTGTGGCACAAGTATGACCATTTGACTTTTAAATCCAAGCTGACTTTGCAGCTCAGAGCATGCTATTAGGGTCTGACTTAGTCACAGCAGTGAACAATCACATGTATAGGAACACCTCGTATGATGGCATCTGCACTCATCTTTGCTAAGGTGTTTCCCACTGGCCCTGGTGCTGGCAAAATCCTTCATCACGGTGGGTGAGGGCAGTGGTGGTGGGAAGCCAGCATTGCTGCTTGGAGAAGAGGGCCAGAAAGGCTTCTGCAGTCCAGGGTGTCTGCTGTCCATCTGTCAGTCCTTATGGCAAACAGTCCTTGGGGCAGAGGTGGGAAGAGAACTGCACCTCAGTACTCTGTGACGGTTTTTTTTATGCTCTTTGCAATGTGGATTTAAACATTTATCCTGTTTTGGAGAGAGTCTGGGAATTCACGTAATGTTTGTAGGGTGAGAGGAAAACTATATTTTAAAAAGCAAATGAAAAATCAGATGGGTCAAAGCTTCACATCCCTCCTTGTTTTGCACAGTGGCGGCAAGAGTGGGAGAGCACCAGGGTGGGGGTGGGGACAGAGGAGCCATGGAGCAGCAAGTCAGGATGTTTGGGTATGAGATCTGTTCTATCTCCACAGTTTCTACTTCTGGCTTAAGCAGAACAAGATCATGGCAGATAAGAAAGGGTGCTGGAAAAAAACCAAACACATCTTATGTGGCTGCTGCTTTGCAGAAGGGAATCCCACATCAGGGCATTTCCTTCTGAGAAACAAGAAAATGCTTCTGCATACATGGAAAACTTCTCCAGATTGTAAGCAGGGCAAGGTAGAGGCTGTTGCTTCTTTCTAAGGTCATTCTTAAGGCTCCGCTCCTCTGCAAAGGCAGCAAGAGAGGCTTTGAAGTAGCCTAAAGGGGTAATTTTTATTTATTTTTCTTTTTGAAGGAACAATGCCATTTGTGTAATTAAGAAAATACCGTGTGCTTCCACACTGCCACCTCAAATGCAGCCTGTTCTGAGTTGCCCTTGGCCTCTCCCTCTTCAGCTGTCCCTCCAGGAAACTGCACAAAATACTGTTGTAACTTTTCTCTTACCTTGATAAGGTGTAAATAACTGAGGAAAAGTTATCACTGTATAAATGTCCACCACTTTGACATGTATGTATGTATACAGTAAATGGCGATAGTTATTCAAGTGTTAGTGAAGTACCAAATCTCTGATTGTCTTCTCTTGTCATAAAAAGCAAAGCCACTGTTTCACACATTTTTTCATTAGACAATAATTAACTCACAACAGGGAGAAATACCAACATCCAGGCATTCATCTATGGATTCTCTACTCTCTTTATGATGAGAGAAGACCAGACACTTTCTCAACGCAGACAACCCAGCCAAACTGTACCAGGCTGAAGTCAGTAGCCTATGATTCTACTTTTAGTAGAACACAGGTATAACTAAAAGCAAGATAGAAAAGAGAGGAGCAGAATTATAATATAGCAATGAGCTTACAGAAGAGATAAAAACAGCTGCTGAATTTCTATCCTCTTTATCCTGTGGCTCTGTTCCCATTTAATGATTATTAAGAATGATATTTTAATAAATGGCTGCTAAAGACAAGTCCAAGATTTTGGAGGGAATATTTTGAGTAATACCTGCCATGTATGCATTTAATTTTAATTTTTATCTGATTTAAGTGAAACTATATATGACGTTTCTCTAGGTTAAGTATGAAGGTAAAGATTTTGTTGATCGAGTTTTAACTGTACTGAACAGGCAATAGACTGTTCATTTCTTCTTCCATATTTCCTCACTTCGTTTTGGATGCTAACAAAACTGTACTTGTCAGAAGGCAAAAGGCTGATATCCTCTTATTACCTTATCTCTGGGGGGAACATTTTCACTTACAGCTTCTGATTTCATATGCCTGTCCATTTTCCAGTGTTGATTCCCAACAACAACCCTCCAGTTCCCAGCAGTGATGCCAGGTCAACGTATTCTGTGGTTGCGCAATCCTGTCAGTGACAACAAGGACTCCGCTGTATAAGTTACTGGAATCATTTTCCCTGTTGTCCTTAGTGGTAAAGTCCATCAATAGCAAACTTTATAGGTATGCCTTTGCACTGACAACTTGATCCCAGTTTGCCCTTCCAGCAACTGTGCACATGAACTTCCTCAAAGAGGTGACTGGTAAATTTCTAAATCTTCCTAATTTTGCATTCTCACTTGTTTTATCTCAGTTAAACTACTTGGGAATTACACTGATCTTTGTACCCTCTTCTGTGCTTTCATTTTTAGACTCCCTTGATAGATTTGATTTCCACAGAAAAAATCTCTGTAGAAAAGTAGCCTGTGATGAGTCAGATCCCTCAGTGAATCTGTGAAGGACTCGCTGCTCTTTACCAAAGGGTCAGCATAGTGGATGGCAGTTTTCACTCTGTCATAGCAGTTTTGGCTCAGTACGTATCTCAAAAATAATTTAAGGCCTGTGACAGCTCATTGGTTCTCACAGGTTATTTCCTTTAGATCAGGTGAAAGGTTCATAGGCATATCATAAATACTTGGTCTCTGTTCCTGAATTCAAAGGTTGCTTTGTATGAAAACCATGAGCTGAACTTAGGAGTACAAGTGAATCTAGAACTGAAAGTCATTCTCCAGAATGATCAACTGCTGAACACGAGAAAGGAGCTGCTCCTGACCTCAGTAAGTCCAAACTTTTTGTTTTATTTGATCTATTTTTACTGTAATGTATCATTACAGCCAGATTTGACTTTCAGCACTGCTTCTACATCCAGCGAGTATAGATATTCTGTCATAGCTCTATTTTCACATAAATGTCCATACTGGGAGCATTTGTAACAGAATTTCATAGAACAGATGAGCTATTTTATAAGGCAGAAGTTCAACAGCAGTCATTTTCTAGCGTGACTGCTATGCCTGGCTAAAAACTCTTTTATAAAAAGGAGGTTGCAGACATTCTGAGAACATTTGGCAAATTCAGAAATGGCTTTGTTATATAGGTTTATTATACAGAAGTAGGTTAACATCACCTTTCTGGAAGGCAAAGGCAATTCTTTGAATATCTGCTCTTCAGATGGAGAAAGTAGACTATGCTGAACAAGCTCAGAGAATCAGAAAATATTGCAGGTGTCATTTTAATAGTTCAATTTCAAAATCTGCAAAATTCTTCCTTTTATAAGGCTTTCCTCTGTGACCATGATCTTTCCTTATGTTGCTGCTGAACTGTTAATCTCCAGAGCTGTCCCTGTAAATCAATGAGTGTTAAGAAACAATTGGGAAAAGAAAAAAAAGAAAAAATACATGGTAACAAGTCACTGCTTCAGCAATCCCCATGCTTTTCTGTCTTATAAAACGGCAAAGTTTTTCATGTTTATGAGAGAACAGAAAAATATGAGGCAAGCAGCTTCTCATTTGTTGCAATACTGCTCCTATATCCACTTTACAGACTACCCACAGTAGGGTTGACAATGTTTTTTTAGTGTTTCAGATTTTATGAGTTAAAAGAGCACTGAGCCCAGAGTAGCTCAGAGCTGGGCCTCTGCAAATCATATACAAATGATCTGGGAACAATCACCCTCTGCAGGTTTTCACAGTTTTTAATTCTTCATTTCTCTTTGCAGTGGGGTGATAGCAGCAGATACATCTCTTCCTCAATTACAGCAGATTTCTTGGTTTTGCAGATAGGCTGATATCCAGGTAATACTAACAATTACAGCATTACTTCAAGGAGATGAAGTTGGTCACTATATATGCCTGCAAAGGATTTTTAGACAGATTTTTTTCAGATGATACTCTTGCCTTCAAAACAGCAAGGCAACTCATTAGATATTCATACTATAAGCAAAATAACACCGAAATAATTGTTTGGTTGAATTGAAATCTGTTTTATTTCATCAGAGATTGTTAAGGGGAGACTCTCCTACTTTCTGATGTTCCTGAGTATTCCGTTTGGGTGCTGTGATGAATTATATGCCTGATTTTTCAATGGTATGCATGAGGTAAACAAGTACTAGCCTCAGGAATAGCAATAACAGTCACTGACTCCTGACCTAGGGCACTGTTCATGTGATAATGGAACTGTGTCACCATCCCACAAAGATACACAGAAATTGAACTTGTAGGAGGAAAAAAACCCAAGTTATTTCTTTTCTAAAAAGGTCATTCAATTTCTGCTTGATATACCATGATCTGAAAGCCAACAACAACATCCCAAACAGTCCTTGGATAGCATAACACACTTTCAAGCAGTGCTTTGGGTGATTTGCAGATCCCTCTCTTTCTGGCAGAGTCTAAAATCGGTTCTCAGTTATGTGATTTCAGCATATTCCATGAAGTTATTGATGAAGTTATTGATGATCATGGTTCTTATGGGATCAAGTGCCTGGGGAGAAGCTGAAAGAAAGGAAAGGTGCATTAATATGACTCATTTTTTTCCTGACAGTAGAGATACAATTTAAAAGGGAGTACACTTTTAAGTAAAAATAAAGTTGAGTGAACATAAAGCGCCAAGTACAAGCTAAAGGAAAGTAAAGTATTATACTGGGTGTGGTATTGAATTTTGTACCTATAGGAGCTGGATTTCCAGTATATATTGGGTACAGCATTTTTTGTAGCTGGCCAAGTACATCTCTTCAGTACTGACCTTCTCACTGGAATTTCCTAATTCCTAGGTCACCATGAATAGTGAATTTGAAAAAGATCACATCAAAAGGCTGCAGGAGCAGCGTATGTTTATGCAAAAGAAAACCTTCACCAACTGGATGAATAATATCTTCTTCAGGAATAATGTAGGTACCTACTCCACCCATGACTTTTTTCCTGGTTTTGTCTTTGTTTTTGATTGTTTCACTTGCTATATTCTTGTGTATGTCAATTTTTGCGCATCTTTTTGAAGTGTCACAATTGCTTACATATGCAAACAAGAAAGACCTTGACTAACCAGAGTACTTCATCCTGTATCTTCTGCCTCATAATTATTTCCATTGTCTATGTTACGAGTTGCTGCTCAGTGGCTCTCAAAAAGTTGCCTTAGGTCTAGAAATTTCAGTGAGGTTTCAGTTAGTATCAGATTTCCAGAAAGCGTCAGAGGTAGTGTACAATTGACTTGTTTGTGCAAGGTAATCCACCATATTCCAAAAGTCACCAGATTTACTGCAGATACATAATTTGTGCCCAAAATGAGTTTATCTGTGACACAATATGGAATTACATTTTCCAACAACAATTCACTTTTCTACTGTCCATAGTTGATATTAATGAAAATGGACCTTGGAAACACCAAACCAGACCAGACTTCTTGTTTCCATTCTAGCTCATGAATACTGTATAGTGTTTCAGTATTAGACAAATGCTTTTCATTTTAATGTTTATTTCAGGATTTTGTGTAAAGCCAGCCTCAGAGCACAACCAATTTTTAAATAAATTTTTCTTACTCTGACTGAAGAGCTGCAAAACACAATCTCATTTTCCTACCTGCAAGAAAGATAGGCTTTTATGATGTAGGAAAATATTTCTATGTAGCTACAAATCAATACATATTTTGTCATTTTAAAAGCACATTGGAGTTCAAAGAGTAAAATGTTAGTCTCTACTTCCTGCATAGTACTTGAGTGTGGATCATAAAAGCATGAGAAGAAAATCCTGTGAGAGCTTTCCAAACCATATACGGTAAGAAATGTTTCAGAGACCAAGAGCTTATCAAGGTTTTCTCAGCAACATAGTCAAGCTTGCCAACATGGACTTTTAACTTGATACTATCCTACTACAGGACACTGCAGTATTCTCAATTGTACTACTGACTACTTCAAGTTTAGCATTAAGGGAATGCTTAATGCTTAAGGGAAATTGCATTGAATTTGTTAATCAATCTTTGATTTGTTTGCATGGAGACACATGTAACAAAGCTATTTCTGTTGCTGAGTGGGGCATAAAGCATATGTAGGGAGACAGTCTCTTTACAATTAAATTAAAATGGAACTATTCTTCATGAATAAAACTGCCACAGAACATAATAGCTTTAACATTATTGTTATTATATATTGTAATATACTGTAGGTGGAGTTTTAGGATTACTTACATGCAAAAAGTAGTAAAGATGGCAATAAAACAGAATTTTTCATGGAAATAATCAGCCAGAGAAAGCTGCTAGTCCTTGTTCTTCACAAAGAACAGAACTGAAGTCTCTCTATGTAACTTGCCTTTAAATTCTCAGTGATTTACAAAATTAAAAAAAAAAAAAAAGCAAACAACCTGTCAAGAGTAAATATATATATATGCATTTATCCTTTATTTCACCTACATTTAACTATGCTCCAAACTGAAAAGCAAACAAAAAAAACCACATAACTAACCAATTAAACATCAGGAATATTTTATTTCTTTTTTTGTTTTTTAAGGTGAAAAGACAATTTACCATCATTTCAGAATCACAGCAAGTTATTGTTGGGTGTGTGATATGGTTTCATTGTCACTTGATGGCTAGTGGCTTAAAGCCAAAAGGAAACACCTAAGGCAAGCTCTGGTTAGATCAGAGTACACGCTATGTCATGGTGTGTCACCTAAGCACTGGGTGACATTAATACTAGCAGCAGTGAGATACATTTTTGTAGATCCTAACGCTTTACATAGTAATTGCACTTAAGTGTGAGACCATCTGTAATTATGGAGACTTGAGGTGGCAGTGAATCTCTAGGAAGAAAGTAATAGAACAATTTCCATGACTCATTTTACATTCCAAAATCTTAATTCTATGTCTTCTCATTTCCTTTATTTTGCTTCACTTAACTTTGGGATTATCAGTTTAAATTTTAAATGGAATGCATTGCTCAGAGTAAAAAACTGAAAAGAGATTTTTCAATTGAAATAAAAAATGTCAGCACTTCCAAAGTATTTGTTTTTGTGATCTTGTTATTTTTCAAGATCTGATTTTTTTTTTTCCCTGCATTTCCTAAGTTATGTTTTGTTAAGGTTTTTTAGTCCTGCCCACTCTCTGAAATAATGTCAGTCCCTCCATGAATCTTTTTTTTGTGATTTGACTTTCATCGCTTGTGCATCACATTTACGCACTGACACACAGCAGACTCTGCGGAACAGCAGCAAGTTGTTGTTTGTTTAGTATTAGAAGTCAAGGGATCTGTGGGCCAAATGTTCAGCCAATGTTGATGTTGTGTGACTGGTCTTTGCAGGTAAGGGCTGAAATAGAAAATATTTACACAGACCTGAAGGATGGCATCTATCTCATGCAACTCCTGGAGCTGCTCTCTGGAGAATCTTTGCCCAGACCGAACCGGGGAAAGATGAGAGTGCATTTTCTAGAAAACAACAGCAAAGCCATTACATTTCTGAAATCCAAGGTAAGCTGATAGTAATAATGATATTATAGATATAAATAGACTCTATATATGTTACTAACTGATTAGTCTAATGTTCATAATCATTTCCATCTCTAATACACAGCAGAATGTTCTTTGAATACAGGTCAGGTTTTATAAAAAAACAAAACAAAAAAAAAATCAGATTTTTGTTATTGTATGAGAAGTGTGGCCTACAAATATTATAATATTCCTCCAAAAATGTCACATCTAAATGAAAATGAATTATATTTTGGAATGCTGATTTAAAATACTGATTTTAAACTTCCCATTAAAAAAAAAAAAGAGAGAGAGAGAAATGCACTCAAAACATTCACTTTCATAATCAAAAATATTTATTTCCTTAGATTTACATTTTCTGATGGACATATTAGCCAGGTGAAAAAATTGTTGACCAGTTTTGGTATAGGAAAGAGGAAAGCTGTAAAAAGAAGATGGACTGGCTAATAAGAATATGTGACTGCTAAAGAGAGAACAGCGCTACAGGGAAAAAAAAAATAGGAAACTCAAAGGCATAGGGAAAAGGGAGCAAGTTATTCACCAGTGAACTTTTTGTTTTACTCATGTAATTACCTCACTTTTTTTTTTTTTTTCATTTACTGGGATTTAAGAAATAGAAGCATATTTATCCTAGATGTCACAACCATATTAACTGATAGGTGAAGAAATATCATACACTGTAAGAGCAGGACAAGGCAAACAATGAACATTTTTGGTTCCTGTGGCAAAATGACTTAAATCAGATAAATGTTCTCTGAAGCTTGGGTTTTTCTTGAAACCTGTCTACAATTTCTGAATTAATTCAAAGATTTTTTGGCAGCAGTTTTCTTTCCTGACAGCTTAAAATTTTTAATTATTTGCTTTTTAGATGCAACACTTTCCCAAATAATGAGGCAAAGTAAACAGCAATAGACACTGGTGAAGCCGCCCGGTATAAAAATGGGGATTTTAGAGCTCTGATTCAAACAGTTTCAAGCAAGCCATTGCAGTACTTTTATGTATTCAAGTTGTATCTCCTCACTGCTTAAGCTACACGATGGCATGCCCTTTTTTTCTTTTTTAAACAAACAATTTATCATATACTTCTCTGGAAAATCATCAAACAAAGCTCTGTGTTATGAATTCTGAAGGAGTAGAGGGGTTTCATAGCAGTAAACACAGGGAAGTATGTAATGCATACTTTTCCATTGATTACAAAACAAATGCAGTGCAGCATGGGCTTGGTGTGTTCCACCTAACACATCTGCTAAAAACACACTTCATATAAGGCCCAGCAGCATGTGCACATCCAGACTTTTCCAGTTAGACCGTTATTTGACACACAAGTCTGGCCTGCAGACAGGGGTTCACAGGCATGTTGAGACTATAGAGCATGTTCAGACTTCTCGAAGAGCACTTCATTTGCGTATTACAGCCTATCTTGCTGTTCTAGAAATAATGGAGAAAGAAGTTGTGACTTATTTATTTAGTAGGACATTTGGACTGTTTGGTGAACCTAAGAGCTATATGTAGACTAGTTTTCTCGAGATCACATCAAATGATCACTGAGTTTGCCCAGCTGCCACTCCTTTGGAGGGCAGTGTCACTGAGCTGTGTTTCTTTACTTAACCACAATTTTCAAAACCAGTAAATGAACTTTAAATCTTTGAGACCGCCATCCCTTTGTCAGAGATTTCCTGTATCTCATTTTTGGTCCATATGGGAGCTCGGGGATGAACATGGGAGTTCTCAGATATAAGAACAAATGGAGTAATTGTGTAAAATCTGATTCCTTAAGAAAGCCTGAATGCCCTCTTCAACACAAGCCTGTTACACAGATGTCTCGTTTGGAGAGCTTGATGTGAGTAATTTCGTACTGAACAGATGTTTGTTTATTAGCAGGTACAAGTGAAAGTGATTGGTCCTGAGAATATCGTAGATGGTGACAGAACCTTGATCCTGGGACTCATCTGGATCATTATACTTCGATTTCAAATTTCATCTATCAAACTTGATAAGGTAAATCAAAGTCTTTTTTCTGAATTCCTCAAGAAATTCAGAGGCTTTGCAGCGCTTCAGATCAGAAAGGACTGTTTTGATGACATTTCCTGTCCATTTGGATCCTGCAGATCTTATGGTACTCAGTTACTTGCCAGCAAGTTGTAAAAGCAATTGAATCAACTTCACAATTTATCAAAGAGACAGAAAACAATAACTTAGAAATATTTGTGTTCATCACTCCCTTTCTACTGGCTTTAACTCCAGAAAGAATTTCTCTGATGTCACCTTTCTCTAGATAAGAAATACACGCTTTCTCTAAAGAAAATTATTCTTCTTTATTATTTTTAGAAAAAGGAGTTTTTCACCATATATTTCAAATACATGAGAGATAAGCTTCTACAAAGATATTGCAAAATCAAAATTAGTAATCTCTAATGATAGATCTGAACGCTTTATTTTTTTCTGAAATCTAGATCAAAGCTAGGAAAGCAAATGAACCAAGCTTTACACCTTTCTTTCATTTATTTGACTTCTACAAACCTTGCAGAAAAGAAAAAATAAAAACTTATTATCTTCATTTCATACTATGATTTAGGAATTCATTCAATTAACTTTTACTTTGATAGAAAACTCCATGTTTTATGTTAAGTCATTCTGTCTTCATGACAGATTCAGCCTGGAACTCATTACTGTTTGAGATGATTTACAAGTTAGACAGAAGCAGTACAAAGCTATCTTTATTGGGAATATAAAACACAGATGCTACTTCCGCATACTGCACACACCGATTTTTCTTTTCTCTGCTGTCTTCACAGGAAGAATTTGGAGGCAGAGCTGATCAGCTATTTGCCAATGAAGCCCTACTACTTTGGTGTCAGCATAAAACTGCCAGCTATCCCAATGTAAATGTGAAGGACTTCTCTAAAAGCTGGAGTGATGGACTGGCTTTCAATGCACTTATACATGCCCACAGGTAAGAGCTGAGCTCAGGGCGATTCGCTTGTTGCTTTTTCTGGTTCTGGCACAAGCTGTTTGAAGGCTCAACAGTCTGAATAACAGATATTTGCCAAGAAATTAAAAAATTCTCTCCTTACCCTTATTCACTGAAAACTCTCCTTTCTTAAATGGATATGCTGCCTCTGAGGAAGGAAGGACCAAAAGCTCCCGCTTCACTGTTCATTTTGTTGGAAGTGAGATTTCTAAGAGATTATCACACATCTGAGCAACACTGCCCAATGTTTGGTCTAAGCCTCTCATTCATATTTTCACTGCTCATTTTCAACAGTTTCTAGTGTAGTGATTGCTTTTATTGTGTAAGCTTTGTGAGCATTTACACCTTCTGATTCAATTTCAAAAGTAAAATTCTCAGCATTTTTCTTCTTCTCTGGCCATTTAAAAAGTTGTGAAGAAAACAGCCCAAGAAGAGAGAAACCGCGTGAGGTAGCTTTGGACAGTTCTCCCACTTAAAATTCTGCTCCATCTTCTAGTCAGGATACTCTGAAATTTACCCAGCTGGGAGTCATCTCCCTGTTCAGAATTGCCACTCTAGTGGGCACTGGTTTTCAATGGTGAGGATGAGAAATAACTGAAAGTCAGAGATTTGCTGGGAATGGTATTTCAATTTCATAAAGGAGAATCTTCTTCCAGCTACATAGTTCTGATGTTTCCGAATAAAGCAGGTCAGACGGAATAATTTCAGAGTTATTCCTTATCTAATAAACAATCTATGGTTTATCATCTGAAGGAACTTAAGACAAACATAAATGTCTGTTCCCCTTTTTCTCTCTGTTCTTCTCCTTGCCCAGGCCTGATCTTATCAATTATAGCTCACTGCGGCAGGACCAGCCCATCAAAAACTTGAACAATGCCTTTAATGTTGCTGAGAAGGAGCTAGGGATCAGCAAGCTGCTTGATGCTGAGGATGTGGCAGTACCCTCCCCAGATGAGAGATCCATCATGACTTATGTGTCACTCTACTACCACTACTTCTCCAGAATGAAACAAGGCCAGACAAATCAAAAGCGACTTGCCAAAGTAAGTGCATTGCTATCTTCAGAATTTAAAAGTTAAATACATAAAGTTAAATTTGTGTTGGAAATGTATTTAGTGCAAGGTCAGCTTTGGGATCATTTGAACTGAATCAAATGCCATGAAACTGAATTGAAAACTTTTTATTGTCACTTGAATGTTGAAAAGTGTCTCTAGGCTTTGATTTCTAGAGGGACTACATTTGTCTCTGGATACAGATCCCTTTTTAACCTCCTGGTTTCAGTTTGAGAGCTGATGTGCTTCTAATGCAGCTTGAAGCCATGCAGATCTCATTAATCTTGGGAAGATTACAGCTAGGCAAAAACAGCTAGTCAACAATTTTCTAATTTAATAGGAAAGATTTAATAGGAAAGAGACTACTTTGAATTTTTATTTTCTTTGAAAATCCTCATCCTTTCTTTTTAACTCTTTAGTCAGGTACAAACAGTGAATAAACAAATGAAAAATGAGAAAGTGCATCAGAAGGAGGAAATCTCCAAGGAAAAAAAATGAACTAAAGCATAAAATTATAAAATAAAATTGCTTTAATAAGATTTATTTTTTTTTTAAACTTTCACTATACATTTAGTCTCATATATGATTGAATCACATGTGAATTACTTGCAACATGCTAATGGAAAATGGAAGGAATTTTGAGTAGATCTTGGCCAAAATATTGTGATCCTTCTGCTGAGGACTACTTCTCTTAGAGAGAATTTATTTTCTACTGTCAGAATATTCCACACTATATTTTTTCAAACAGTCTACAGAAAACCTATACACTCAGGATGACTCTAAATTCTCCCCTCTGACTCTAGAGGGACTATATTGCTCAGTAGGAGACACAAAACTAGAGCATCCCTGACGATGACAAGGCAAAACCTTTATATGAAGCAGATTTTGTTCAGCTAAGCGGTCTAGGACAAGAACAAGATGATTTTGAAATGTTTCTTGGTGACAGTGATGTTCTCTGAAGAACTGTTGGATGACAATCAGACTTTGAATTCAGTTAAATAAAAGATTGGGCATAAGTGTGGAGAGTGGGCAGTAAGATTTGTCTGGACTCCAGCAGAGACTCTGCTTTTTGGGCAGGATCAACAGGCTGTATCTTTGTATTATGGGCAAACACAAAAAGAATATTTCTTACTCTGTATTTTTTACAGTTTTTATTGTGCTCCACCATTTTTTTCACTTTGTATAGATATATTCATGCATTCTTTTCTCTCTCTCTCTTTCCACTTACTGCTTCCCTTTTCTCTCTTTGTCGTCTTTGGTATTCTCTCCCATCTCTAGTATTGCTCGCTGGTCTTCCTGTGTTTCTTACACACACAAGCATAAAGAAGGATAACAAAACAGATGTTAATCTCCTCATGTCCTTAGTCCCCTCAAATAGGCAGTTCTGAACTTACTAATAGGATTGAGGAGGGAAGTCTGAGTGTGTCAAGAGAGCCCTTGAGTTGAGACTATGTGGGTGACCAGCATGGCAGAGGGATTCATCCTGGAGAGGTAAATCTGCTTTCCCCCACCCACGTGAGGTAGCCATGCACTTACTGGGATCTTTCAGCAAGAACTGGGTACGATGGCAGAAAATACAGAAAGGAGCCCTGGCAACATGGGCTGCTTTTCCTTCACTCAAGGTTGGTGCTGTTTTGCTACTCTTCAAGCACTGTGACATTTATTCATTGCCAAGTGCACTTCCTGCTAGGTAAAAGCAGATAACCACTTGCAAGGCGTGGGCCTTTGCTCAGTGATATCTCCCTCACTAATCTGTCTGCCTGCTTCAGGAAAATGATAGAGGCAGACAACATAGTTCAGCATTAACCCTGATGTCTACAGGGAGGCTACTGAGTAAAAGTAAGGAAAAAGCTATAAAGACACAAAAATTGAAAAAATGTGTAAAACTGAAAGAATGACTTCATTCTAACATTTTTATTATTATTATTTCATTATGATTTCATTCTAAATGGATTTTTGAGATATATGGGCAGTTGAGATAAATGCAGGCCAGATTGCAGATGAAACAGATAAATGTTATAGACTAGAGAAATTACTGTTGAATCAGAGTTAGCATCCTTACCAACCTGTTTAGCTATAATGTGTTTTGTTTCTCTGCTGATTTTTAAAAAATGGAATGGCTCCTACAAAAGAGATTGAGAAGGATCAGTTTGTCAACAGTCTGTTGTTGGTATGTAACTAAAATCTTGTCAGACGACTTCCCACACCCAAGGTGTTGAGATTAAGAGGAGTTGATTGCATATTAATGGATAGGATAAGACTCTTTTCTTTTTTTGAAAGAGAATGAAAAAAATCTCACTTTGGTTCCATTGTGAAACAAAATTTCTGAAGCCTCTATTTGGGACTTCTGCTTTCTTCTTATTCTCAGCTCTCAGAGGAACTGTCGACAGTTGTCATATGCATGCTATTTATTTCAAAATTTAACCTTTTCCTAAATTAAAAAAAAAAAAAAAATCAAACATTAAATAATATTTATTGGGTTGGTGTTTTTTTTTGTTGTTGTTTTTTGTTTGTTTTTTTTTTTTTTTCTCATGAAAGGTCATCTGGCCCCACAGGTTAAATCTATACCTATATGTGATATACCCTATAACTAGTGGAACTAGAACAAGTTAGATTGTCTTTAAGGTCCCTTCCAACCCAAACCATTCTATGATTGGTATAGAAATTAGATGACTGTGGCAATTTGCTTGTTAAATACTGTCTTCCTGACATATACTGTTCTGTTTGGATCCTAAGTTTTGTTTACAATGATGTTGCATTCTGTTCACCCATCTTGGTTCATACTGCTTCTTATGTGGCTTTTAATTTCATATTCCAATTTCAGATTGTGTTCCTCCTGAAGGAGATAGATGACTTGAAGCTTCTGTATGAGCAGATGGTCTCTGACCTCCTGAAATGGATTAAGCAGAAGGTGATTGAGCTGGATGACCGTATCTTCCCCAACTCTCTTCAGGAAATGTGGCTGCTCATGGCCAATTTCAAGACCTTCCGCACTGTGGAGAAACCCCCTAAATATCAAGATAAGGGAATGATTGAAGCTCATCTCTTCAACATCAGGACCAAGCAGAGAGCCAACAACCTACGACTATACGTGCCTCCAGAAGGGAGAACGCTGCAGGATGTGGAAAAGCACTGGATTATCCTGGAAAAGTCAGAACACAACCGGGGAAAAGCACTGCAGAAGGAGATGCTGAGGCTAGAGAAGCTGGAACAGCTAGCCAAGAGGTTCCTGAAAAAGGCAGCTCTGCGTGAGGCTTACTTGGAAGACATGAGGAAAGTGATTGGAAAGCAAGACTTCTGGCCAGAAAGCGTAGATAGGATGGAAGCTGCCAGTAAGAAGCTGGAAGCCATTGTGGCAGATGTACTCCCCAGGAGGGAACGTTTTGCAGCCTTGGCCGAAATGGCAACAGTCATCAGCCAGAATAACTATCACAGCAAAGATCAAATTGTGAAGAAGTGAGTGGTGGTCTTGAGATCATGTGGTGGTGGAGATTGAAATTATTTTAATTTTTTTGACATAGACAAAAAAGATGAATTGTGGCTATGAATCAAAGCTCTTCTCCTCATTAGTAGAACTGGCAGGAATTTCTTCTACCCATGAACTGTTTCAGCAGATAAGAGAAATGTTTTGTGTTATGTTTGTTTCATTTGATTTTGCTTCCATGATCAAAATGCAGACTGATTTCAAGTGAAAAATAGTTCTGAGGTATTTTGATCTGTATATGAAAATATTTGTTCTGCTAAAAATCCTATATTCCATCAAAAATACTTAGAAAATGTATACTACTTTTTCCTCAAAATCAACACAGTCTGCAGTTTGGGAGATACAGATTTTTTAACTCACAAAGTCTTCCCAAGTTGACTCCAGTTCTCAAGTTTTGAGAAATTATGACTTCTCTAATTATCTGTACATCCTGACTTAGGACTTGATAAAAATACTTCACCTGTTTTTCGGTTGTGACCTGTCCTCCTCCACAAGTAACTTGCCTTGTGTGTGTTCATTTATCTCCTCTAAAGCTGTGAGAACTGGGAGTTTTTACTCATGAGGCCTGAAGTCTTTGATCCAAGCTGATCATCTCTCTCCTCCTTTGTAGGGAAAACAGCATTTCAAAGCAATGGCAAGATCTTCTGGATCAGCTGCAGAAACGACAACACTCCCTGAATACAATGCAGGAGATTCTAGCCCTCCTGAGGGACATTGATGCCGTTATGGAGGAGCTGAAAGAACTACAGGTACTGAGCCCCCTCCAACAGCACACAGCTCACACTGTTAACAATGTGTGTCCCTAAACAAATGCTCATATTCAAGGACTAGTGCACTCACTCTCTGGTACCAACAAAAAGTAAGTCTATTAGTTATAGAGAAAAAAAACACTGGTTTTACTTAGATACCTAACTTTAGCTTTCAGCTCATCATTGCTGGTATCTATATGGAAAAAAAAAGGAACCACAGTCCTTGTTACAAGGACTCTCTCTAATCAGAAGGTGAAATATGGTATTACTGCTACAGGTTCAAATTATGTTGTAAAATGAAGATGGTACATCTCTCACCTAAATTTAGAAATCTAAAGGCAAAAGTTGGAAAAAAAAAAAAAAGAACAATCTTCCTTTCCCATTCCAGGTAACTACACTGAATCACCTTCTGGAAGTAACTATTTATTTTGTTTGTATATTTATAGAGTTGGAAAGTAGCTCAGGCAAGCACCTGAGTTTCAGCTACTGAAACCTATAAAAGACAAAAGTTCCACAGCAAAATGCACAGTGCTCACTTTTAAGAAGAGTTTTCAAGTATTACCAGAGTGTCAGAACTCAAAGTCTTCTCTTTATCATAGGAAATAACTCCTTTATATTAATTTTGTAATGGCAGACCACATTCATCCTTTGGTCTTGCCTTGTCTTACTTAAAGACAGAAAAATCCTTACAACTGCAGGCTGCATTGTATCTAAGTTGAAAGAGGTAAACAGGTTATATGAAGGTGTGAGTTTCAAATTAAATATAAGAGGTATCTGATAGTTATGAATCTATTTGTCCAAGTGTTAGTCAGCAAAAACTTCTAATGATAGTGACGTTGTTGGAACCATGATAGCCTGAGAATATGAGAAGAAAGATCAATAAGAAAAGATAACACTCTCTGTTAGAATAATTGATACAATTAGGAAGAGGGCAGACAATAAAGCATGCAGTACTTTCGTTGGGACATTATTTGACATCATTATCTAAATAACAAAAATAGTAAGTACTTCACATTTAGTACGGCCATACTAGTATGAAGTACTTAGTAAGTAATGAAAATTATTAATTATTTACCTGGCAAAGTCAAGTATGTTTATCAAACAAAAAACTCATGGTCAAAACATACCGTTCGGTGGGATAGAATTCTCCAAATACAGACCAAATCCATCTGCAGATGGATGTATATAGAAAAGGGCTGTTCTTGTGCCCACAAATTCTGAAACCTTAAGTGCTTACCTAACAGACGTAACTTAGTTGTGAAAACAGATAGTTATTTGAAGAGAACATTTCTTGCTCTGCAAGATGATAGAAACTCTGGATTGTTCCTGTTACCTTGTGAAACTGAAAGAAACGTATTTTTAGCTTTACATAGCTGACATAATTCTTTTACAAGTTATCAGAGTCAACAGGAAGCTTTCAACCGATTTCTTTGAACCAATCCCTTGGATGCACTCTCTACAAATGCCTTTTTTTTCTCACTTTGTTTGCAGGCACTAGTGAATTCCCAGGACTGTGGGAAGCAGCTCCTAGAAGTAGTAGATTTACTTCAGAAGCACAACTTGATTGACTTGCAGATCTCTTCCTATGATGATAGACTGACACACATAACTCAAAGGACAGCAGAAATCAGCAAGGACAGTGCAGTTAAAGCAGAAGTGCTTTATGCGAAAGTTCCGATGCTTCGTCAGCTATATCAGAACCTTATAGCTCAGAGCAGAACACGGTATGACTGTTTATGGCTCCTTGGCTCCTTGTTTCTAATTAAGGTGGTCCCTCTGATTGAGTTAATCCCTCAATCAGAAGACTCAACTTCCTCATATTTGGAAATTTCCATTTCTTCATTTATAAAGACATAAAACGAGCAATTTGATTGATTTTATTACAGCTGTCTGAAAGAGATTACTCACCTCTACAGCTAAAAAATAACTTCATTCTTAGCATTTCTTATGGTTTGCTTTATGTGCAGTATGAATAGCATAGTGTTATCTCCTCGTCTCCTAGAAGACAAAGAATATTTAATTTTGTTTCCCTTGCTCTCTTGCATAAATAAATTAAATGATGACAAAGAAGAATTAGATACATTCAAATTTTGGATTTTCAAAGTTCTGAAGTTTATGCTATTCTGTAGTTTTATCTTCTTTGGATCCTGATTCTGACTTGGATATGTTATTTTCTTTGTTTCAGAAAATCCCAGCTAGAAGAGGCTTTAAAGCTCTTTGAATTCTTCCGTGACTGCAAAGAAGAAGAATCATGGATCTCTGAGAAATGGAAAATAGCAAGAACAACAACATTAGGGAAAGATGTCAGCCAGATTACAGCTTCCATTCAGAAGCACAAGGTATATTACTTTGCTGGTAGTGTCTATTCTCTGTGTTGTAGCACAATTTTAGAACATCTATGTCCTTCAGACCATGCAGCAGTTATAAGAAAACTATCAAACCAGCCATTAGCTCAATTATCATCACCAGTATCTGGAACTTTTTTTAAGACAATGTGCAAGATGTGTATTTTTCCCAGGACAAGACAGAAAGTGGAGAGAAGGAGTATATCTTATACCCGAGCCTCTCCTGGGCTACATGAAGATACTGGACTACTTACTATCTCATGTTAGTGAATGGGAAGGAAAAATAAATTGTTAGGTTTTGTTTTTCCCAATACCTCTCCTGATGGTGGGGAAAGAGAAGAGCTGGTGGAAAAAAAGATCAATGATAACAGCAATCATGATGAGAGCGCTATGGATAGCATTGTGTGAGTTGTATAGAAATTACCACTCCTGAGAGCTTGCTATGAGCTAATGCCACAGGTCTGGCTGCTGCCTTTTTCTGATGTGGGATCATTATAAACAAGTGTAGAGATCTGTGGACATGAGTGACAAAACTGAAGCAGAAGCCTCTTGGGCAGATTTACTATGCAGGTGTATTTGGTTTTGTATTTGCTACTTCTGGAAAGCATAAGAGTACTGAATAGGTGAACCACAAAAAAATATCTCCCTCAGAGAAGATGGCATGGCAAATTTGCCTTTGCACAAAGGTTAAAAAAAATTTTTTAAAAAAAGGCAATTAGTTATGTGTGGGGAGTAAAGGTCAATCATCCCAGAACTTAGGGAAAAGTCTCGGGCATGGATAAGACACAGGCCTCTTTCAAATGCATGTATTGTAGTAGCTGAGAATATGAATCCCCCTTTTTGCTCTTAGCTGGCAGTGAGTGAGTTGTGGCCATGTTTCTCCCATTCCTCTGCTAGGCTCTCGAAGCGGAATGCAACTCACACAGGGCCATTTGTGCAGATGTTATGAGGAGAGGCTGGGATCTGAGCCAGAAGAACCCTACACATGAGGAGGACATCCAGAAACAGAGAGAGAAACTCCAAACGTTGTGGCAGCAGCTCCAGGATGAGGTGGCAAATCGCAAAAACCGCCTGCAGGCAGCAGCTCTCATCAAACAGGTAAGCAGGTCTTGCTGTGACACATGGAATGGGGAACACAGATGTGGTTCACTTCTGTCTCCTGTCCCTGCATACAGGGCAACAGCAAAATGAAGCTCTCAGGTGCCAGTCTTCAAAAAGAGATCTCCATGATTCAGTCTTATTTCTTCTGCAAGCCTCCCAGACAGGAGATTTGAGTGGTTTGTGCCTAGCAGAGAACTGTGGCTGGGGTTGCTCTCCATTAAAAACTCTTATGGAAATATTTCACCTGACCTTGCTGATGCACAGTAAATCTTGAAGGTGGGATCTGGGCAGCTGTGTGACATTTTTCTAACAACAACAACAAAACATCACTAATCTCACATACAGAGAATTCCAACAACAAAACAAACACACCAGAAGACTTGGATCTACTGCAGACTTTTTCAAAATCTGGGAAATATCTGACTGTTCTATTCTGATCTCCGCAGATCTTTTACATAAACAAATACTAACATATCTGCAGATACGGAGTTCTTATAATATCAGCATTCAAAAATCACATTGCAGTGGCTCAAGTATTATTACTACTGTCCCTTTCTTACATCTATCCTCAGTCTGTTTCCCCATGAGCTCCTTGAGCAAAACTTAATAGCTTTGTTCTTGACGAAGTCTAAATTCTCTTCTCCACCTATAAGTTTACCATCATTATGGTGATTTACTTCTTTCTTTTCTCTTCACTACTGTTTTTTTTTCTTTTTTCTGTTGTGCCTTTATTTTTTATCTCAAAATGTTGTGGGGTCTTTTTTGTTTGATTGTCTACTACTATAACAAGGCAATTTATAGGGGAAAAAAGATTTTGCTGTAGATTCTGAGTTCATTAATGCTAGTTATTCTTTATATCCACTGCTTTTAATCAGCAGAAATCTTTTTATAGGTGTTCTTTGAAGGGTAATGGCAAGGCAAGACTTGAATCTATTTCTTCAGTGTTATAATATGAATTATCTGTTCTTGATATGATTATGAAATACATCAGTGATTCATAGCTGTATAGCCACTTTATTTATAGCTGTCGCAACACCTGGAAGTAACCTTATATCTACAGACCTAATGACATTTCTGCCCTGTTTATTGTTATTAAAAAAAAAAAAAAGAAGTTGTGTGTGATATTTTCAGGATGAGACCCAGCATTTTCTTCTCCTCTGTTCCCTTCAGTACTTTGCTGACACTGACGAAGCAAACTCATGGTTGCAAGAAAGGCAACCCCTTCTGGCCAGCAAGGACTATGGAAAAGATGAATCAAGTGCTGAAGCACTGTTGCATCGTCATTTGCGCCTGGAAAAGGAGATTGCAGCCTACTCCACAGAGATGAGGCGCCTGAAAGAGCAGGCTGCCATTGCAGCAGAGCAAGCTCCAGCTGCAGTAAGTAGGTTAGGGATTGTCAGTCTTTGTTCCTTTGTTCTGTAACTATTGAAGCTGGCTAGAAATTTCACATGGAATATTTTCCAATATTTCCAATCCAAAACAATGTTCTAATATTATCTAAACTTCTTTTCAGTAGGGCACCAGTTTCAATAGAATTTTAATTTGTAAGCAAAGTGAACAAAATCTTTTGCTAAGTTTGAATCCGTGCACTTCAGAATAGAGTAGGCTATGTTTTAAAATTATATCTTCTGTCATAGTTTTGTAGATTATACTATGGAAATTATATGAAAATGAAATGTTTTTGAATGATATATTTTTATTTTACCCAAACACAATATTCCAAGTTGTCTGAAGAAGAGCTTTTTTTTTCAATTACGACTATTCAGGAAGAATACTGAATTAGGATGGAATCAAATTTTTAGATAGCACAGTGCAATGGACATTTTTAGCCTATCTCAGGGTTCTGTGAAATGCTAGAAATATGCTTACATGTATTATTTTCTTCTGCTGATCTTCATAAATTTTTGTCACTCTTGATTCTCATAACAGTATTCATTTCGACTGACTTCAGAAATGATATTAAAAAATCTGCATTCAGTTGCATATTCTATGGTTTGTTAGCAGTTTTAGAAGTTAAGAAAACTGGACATTGATGTTGGCACAAAATGAGAACTTTTAGTGAATCAAAGTATTTTAAACTGAGCTAAATAAAACCACTTCATTCAACGTAAATGAAATGTTTTTCAGTTTGTTAACTATTTCAATATAAGTTCAAAAGGAAATAGAATCAAAAAAATCCTGGAAATATTTTGTTAGAAGGTCAGAATGTAGTGATTTGAACTGGTAAGTCCAAATTTTCAGTATATGTGAAATTTTTATCCAAATTAGAAATATTAATCCCCTGATTCTGTTAAATTTTGCACAACAGATGGTGAAGACAGAAGCCCCAAGTGACTTAAATCAAAAGACAACTAAGCTACCCTTCAGTCGAACCTGGACTACATCTGAATCTGCTCTTCCTGGAAGCTCCGGTTTAGATGTTCATTTTGTTCCAGAGAACATTTGGAAGACCCAAGATGAAATAGACTCACTTTATGAAAACCTACAGAGCATGGCTGAGGTACAATACCTCCATTGATGTTTTGTGCTTCTCTTATGCTTTTAAATCACTGTTGCTCTGGGGGGAGAAATATTTTGAGCTCAAGGTGTAACATACTCTGTTCTCTGTCAGCAGTATACCTGGCAAAATTACCAAGTTACCATCTGTGTATTTTAGTTAATTTAAATGAAAGGATGTTTTCCCCTCAAAAAGCAAGGTAGTTATTACAGCACCAAAATTCTTCATCTGTTTTACAGGACAGAAAAAAGGCTTTGGAGGAGATGATTGGATATTACCGTTTCTGTAGCTCCTGTGAAGCATTTCAGTCATGGATGAGAGAAAAGGAGAACATTTTTCGTACTCTTCAGCCTCAAGCAGACAACGTGGAAGTCATGCAACAAAAATATCAGGTATCCTCTTTCCCTACTGAATGACGCATTTTTAAATCACACTGACCTGGGGAGAATAGAAAAAGCTGAGAAACTAAGTTTTGAATGTTTTTCATTCATTGCAATGTACGGTGCTATGCATAAGTCAGATACTTCTTTGGTATAAACTATGCCAACCTTACTGAAGCTGATGTCCATTTAACTTCTGTGGATGTGATATTATGGTACAAATATTGTGGTATAAAAGGATTCTTTTTTTTGGTTTATGTTATGGCACTTAAAGAAAACTGGCACGTGAAGAAAATAATCCTATAGTGCACTTGCATCCCTATGGAATGGGGCATATGCATAGACATAGTTTGTATACCAGGAGAGATCTGGATTATAGGGGCCTGCAGGTGCAGGTCTGTATTGTGTCAGTGGGCAAGAAGATGAACAGCAAGGTGCACAAGTCACCTGACAAAGTGGAAAACGAATGTATATGGAAAATATCAAGAACAGCATCCATAGAACTGGAAAAATCTCAAGTTCTGCATTCTTGTATCTTTTCTATTTTAGAGTTTTTTAACAGAACTGGCTGCAGGGAAAGGCCAGCTGGGAGAAATTGAAAGCTTAGCTACTAAATTTGGAAAGAAGAGTCCTGGCAAATACACTGAGATCCAGATTTGGCTGGAAGAAATCAATGCCAGGTAAAGGCACTACTGGTAAAATAGAGAATATTTTTTGTGATGGCCATTGGAGAGTTGACCTTTGCATGCCTGATCTAAACTACACTGAGAGAATTTAAGCCTGATAAATTATTAAATCCCAGAATTTGGATGAGGGGAGGATTTTAAATGTACTTGAAGTTTGCTCTTTCGAGTTGCAGCAGTCACCACCAGACACAGAATGGTACAGAGCGGCAGGGGCTGCTCCCTGGGGTCAGCAGGGGTCCAGGACTCATTCAGCAGGGACCGTGGCTGGGCTGAGGCAGGACTGTGATGCAGCAGGACTGCACTTTTGGCCAAACCCTAGCACAGTCTCTCATAAGAGAAGCTCCCAAGGGCTGAGGTCAGACCTGGCAACTCCCAAAGCCCGGGGTTTCTATAGAGATGTTGGAGGGGGACAGGTCATGGTTCAGACAGCCTGAGTTGACTGCCATGGTGCAGAAACAGCTTGCTGTCCTGTATGGAATGGGGAACTGGGAGCTACGGTGAGAGGCCTTGGCAGACAAGACTAATCCCATAGAGAATTGAACAGGAAAGACCTGGGATGGTAACTAGCATTAGACATGAGTCCCAACAGTCCCTACTGTCATTAGCAGGAATGGGGTAGCCCTGGGCTGCACTAGTTGCCTTGAGCCTGATATCTTGCTTCCAGGACTTTGCAATGCCCTTGCAGTGAGATATTGCTTAGGGTGAGGATGCCCTTCACTATTACTGAAAGGAACACAAAATCCTATTTGACTTCACCAAGTAGCTTGGTACCTGTTGTATACGTGTTCCTGTAAGCTACCCAGCTGGAACTGTGAGGCACTACTGGGTCTCAGTTTGACCAGTGTTGTTTATTTACATTGTGTTTAGGGTTTTTGATCACCTGAGCTAGATTCACTTGTTTGAGATGTCACTGAGATGAACTGTGAGGTTGAAGTACTGGCTTTCTCCTCAGTCCACTGAAATCTTAATTAAATCCTTTACACAAAGTTTTACTCAATAGAAAGAGAATGTATTTCATATGCTTCCCTCCATGCTTTCTGAATCAAAACCAGAAACAAATGTCACACTTGCTAAAACTCTGTATAACAAAGGCTATAAATTGAATCTATTTTTTAGGTGAAGGCAAGTTCTGGGGTAGTGACTGAGGCAACGTGCAAGTAATTGTGTTCTCTCTCCCTCCAAGGTGGGAACATATGGAATCTCTGAAGGAGGAGAAGGGCTCAGAGCTGATTGGAGTGGCTGATGTGAGGACATTTCTTGAGGACTGTCAGAGCATAGAAGTGCTACTGCAAGACAAGATGGGCCAGCTCAGAGATCTGGAACCAGGGAACTTACCTGCTGGGCTGGAGTCAGACAAGCGCAAACTATCTGCAGTTGAAAGAGAAGTCCTAGTGATCGAGAGGAAAATTGAATACTTGAGGAGTGTTGCAAAATCGTAAGGAACCTGCTCTTTGTTTTCACATTCTATACTAATTGTCTAAGATGACATTGTAAAGAGAATGAGCAGTCTTTGAAATTTCCCTTGAAGTATCTTTTTAGCTGCATGGGGAACCAACTTGCCCATTGGTTTGAGGTCCTCTCTCTTGAGTATGGCTGGTGAAGTGGCTGTTTCCAGGCTTTGCTGTTGTGGAAAGAATCTGTAAATACAGCAAGACTGTGACTTTATCAAGTCATCTGTACTAATGGGAGTTACTCGCACATTTTGAAATAGGTATAATTGAGGAACTGAAAGAGGATCATCAGGGGAAACAAAGATGAAGGAAGAATAGCTGGCAATTGTGCACTACAGTTTGAATTTGAAATTGTGAAGATTTTTACTTCTTTGAGTCTTCTATACTTTCAAAATGTATAGATACAATTGAACCACAAGAATGTTATCAGTCTTTAAAGAGTCTCTAAAGTGTATTTTCTGTGGTACGATGTTTTCACACAGATGTTTTTTGCCAGTTTGGAGTATTCGGTGCCTTAGCTGACTTTCTTTTCAACAAAAGTGTAAATATCCAAATTTATTACTTTTAAAGGGCATTGGTTCAAGCTTCAAATTTCTGAAGCTGTTCTTCCAATTTTTTGTATTCTACTTCTTGCTGTAGTATTAAGGACACTAACCCTGCAGAGAGCAAGGCCATCACGGAGCAGGTGGAGTACATGGAGAGGCTTCTGGTAAACCTCAAGTTGGAGACCCAAAGGAAGCGTGACCTTCTGCAGCAGGCCCAAAATCAACAGTCCTTCCTGCAAGACAGCCGCAGGCTCCTGCTGTGGGCAGAAGGCATCAGGGAGAAGATGAGAAGTGAAGAAATGGGTGTGGACGTGGCTTCTGCAGAGCAACTGCTGAGGGAACATCAGGATCTTCTGAAAGAAATAAGGTCTCAGAAGGAAAGGTAGGCTGACTGAGCAGAATGGGGTGATATTTTAGCAACACCATGAAGATGAAACATCTATTGTGTATATAAATTATGCATGAACGTTATGCTGTTTATTTAAATGCTTGTGAAATTTTGAAAGAAAACTGCTGAACGCAAAATCCAGTTAGCTGTTGCATCCTTGCACTGATGTCAAGGATGAAGAGATGTCTGTTAGAGTAAAGTTTCACAAGCTCTCTTGACATTTGAATAATGCCACCTGCACTTTCACTTCCCTCAGTTCTTCCCTTCTTATGCTTCATGTTTCCAGATGCCATGGTTTTCAATCCTATTGTTCTGCAGCATTATAAAGTTCTAGACATAGTGTTGGCCCTTCTTGCTCATTTAATGGGGAAGTCTACTTACATGGCAACTTATACAGAAATCTTACCTACCACCTCCAGCCAGTATCTCTGAGCAAACAACTACATGCATTGTGTAGTGTACAACAATGGCTAGCAAGGAAAGAGCAAGAGGGAGGGGGGGACAGCTTAGCGTTTACTGCTGTGCGCTATATAAGAGAATTAATATATTCACATGTACTAAGGTCTTGATTTTCATTCTCTGGGAAGATTTGTGCAGCTAGAGGAACTTGGGCATAAAGTAATTCAAAAACAACCCAGTAACAGTAGGACCAGAGATGTTCACCTGTCTGTGGAGAGGCTTGCCCAGGAGAACAAAGAGCTGGAAAATATATGGGAACAGCGATGGAAAAAGCTGCAGGATGGCTTGGAATTACAGAAGTTCAACAGGGAGGGAGACCGTATCAATGCTGCCCTTTCTAGCCATGAGGCTTTTCTCCGGGGTGATGACCTTGGGGTACGTACAGCAGCTGATCTTGTTTCTTTCTACTTCACATTCAGGGAGTCACACATCTTTCTTAATTAGATCAGCTTCCTCATTCTTATGGTCATGGCATTTTCATACTTTGAAACTAGATTGTCAGTTTTTTATTTGTGTTCTTATGTCCTTACTCATCATAATGAAAATTAGGCTAGTCTCAAAAGCATTTTAAAAAGCAACTAGAGCTGTGATTTGTTGCTGTGTTTGCATGACAGATGATTTAGATACAACTGATTCACAATCTGGGTGTCTAATGCAAAATAAATAAATAAATAAGGTTTTGAGGCTTAAACATAATTAATATTTTTTCATTGAAATAGAAACCTGAGTTTAAATAAATTCTTTTTTTTTTTTTTTCATTGAGTATTTTTAAAATGTTAAAGCAATGAAGGGAAAAAAAAACAACAATAAATGAAGACAATATTCATGAGATCACTGAAGGACGAAGATACCTTTTATATTTTCAGTTGAAAAAGTTTGTTATTTTAGGACTAACTAAATGGAATAAAGATGTGCTTAATTAAGGGTATACTAGCCTAGATGCAGAATACAGATTTTCTTAAAAAGTGGAAATGGAACCATAATGTAGGAACAAACATATGACAGGTTAAACAGATATATCACAAGCCTAAGCATATCTATTGCTTATTTATAGGCTGTATATACACACAGTGTATTATACACAATCTTATTGCTAAATGTCTATCTCTGAAAGAGAAGAGGGAAAGTAAGGACAGGTAATTTTTTCATTGCTACAGGAAAAGCATACAGCCAATAAAAAACTTGATCAAATTTTCTTTCTTAAATGCAGGATCATGTAGATGCTGTTCGAAGCCTGCAGAAACAACATCAGGAATTTGAACAACTGCTAATGGTGCTAAAGAGACGAATTGAAGCATTTAATGAAAATGGGGGAGACCTAATAGAAAGTGGGCACTTTGCATCACACATGTAAGTCCAGACTCCCTCCCTCCCTCCTTTTTGTTCAAAGGAGGAGGTAGAAAAAACAGTAATTCCACTGGAAGCATGTAGAGTTAATAAACGATCGGATCAACATTAAAATCTTTTCTCTGAGACAGGCTTCAGTTGATCTCTAAGGATAAGGGGCAACAGATTCAAAGTAGAATAGAGGGTAGATTTAGATTACATATCAGGAAGCAATTCTTTACAATGAAGGTGGTGAAGCACTGGTACAGGTTGCCTAGAAAAGTCATCAATGCTCCACCCTCGGAGGTGTTCAAGGTCAGGGTAGAAGGGTCTTTAAGCAACCTGGTCTAGTGGGATGTGTCCCTGGGAGGGAGTTGGAACCAGATGATCTTCCAGCCCAAAACATTATATGATTCCAGGCTGTGATCTGCTGAATAAGGGCAGGTAAAAGGGTATTTTTCAGAAAGATACAAACATCCTATGCTCTCAGGACAAGTGAGTCTAATATTAGAGTTAGGTTAAAAAAGGCATTTTACAGAACGCTAGAATAATCATTCTTTTATAATAAAACTAGTAGTATTAAAACATTTCTAACATAAATACATCAGTAAATACATTAAATGCCTGCATAATTAAAATTTTCTCTCACTTACCAGTATCATGTATTAGAACTAATATGTTTGCTGTTAAAAAGTTATTTAAAACTTTGTTAGGAAATAATAACACATCAGGAGCAGCTTCATATTGTAGTGGAAGCTGAAGTGGGTCAAATGGTCCATGATTTGTCATTACAAATGATAACATCTTGAAAATTTCCTCCATGAATTCATAAAACTACTCTTAAAACCAGGTATCTTGCCAGCTCTACTATCATTACAGGGCTATTCCAGAGCCTCACTGCACTTGTATCACAGAAAAAATAACTATTCGTGGTGGAATATTTGGGTAGAATAAAGGCCTAGGTGTTTTAGTCAAACATACATGACTGCAATTCACTAATGGAACATAGATATAGAAAAGGAAAATCTAAGGTAGCTGGAAAGCAGTATCTGGTTTTCGATTAGCCACACAAGGTCATAGGACAGGGCTGTATATTCCTTCCATCAACAAACGTGTGAACTAAATTGCAATCATATGATGCTAATGTATACAAAGGATTCATGGACATGTATGATCATTACAGCATTGAACTTACTCTTTTTATTGGTAGTATTAAAGAGAGAATGGCTACACTCCGGCAAAGATGGGAACGGCTGATAGAAAGCAATTCCAAGAGAAAACAGAGATTATTGGATTCCCTGCAGCTGCAGGTAAAATGATAGAATGTGCAGATTCAGTCAAGCATGTATGAAGTAAGCTTACTGTTCGTCTTTGTATGGGACACATCTCAAACATTTTTACTGCAGCTCACTTTCCACTTTCCCTTTGGCTATGAGACAGAAAATGTCACTTTCCAAGGAGAAGGTGATGTGTAGGGGTTATATCTTACTAAACTATAACCGTAGCAAAATTAAAAGCCAAAAATTGAGAGATCAAATGAAAAATATCAACAGGAAGTTTTGTCTACCGGATAAGTTTATTCTGCTCATTACTATTTTTCTGAGTGTTAATCATTTGGCACAAATTAACCTTTCACTCTAGATTAACATAATTAGGGAGAATACCTTATACATTCTAACTTTTATATTAACACTTATTTTTAAAAATGTTTTAGAAGCTACAGTGCATTTAGCTTAATTTGTAATGGGCTGCCAACATAATGAAAAAACTAGCTTAGATCTTCTTGCACAAGTTTTAATGAAAGTTCATTTCATAAACCTGGAAGGGACAATACTAGTATTTGAAGGGACTCTTCAGAAGTTAGATTACCCTTGCAGATGGAATGAAGCTCATTCATCTTAGGGAAAGATATTTCTAGACCAAGCAACTTGCAGAAACAGGCTTCTTTTCTTACTTCATAATAAAATTTGGAGTTGGACTCGATGATCCTTATGGATTCCTTCCGACTTGTGATACTCTATGATTCTGTACTATTTAAAAATAGCAATGCTTCATAACCATTAATAGATAACATCTTACCCATTTTCCAAATTCCTACTGACAGTTTTTCTTCAGAGAGATGAAGCCAGTTTCTGCTACTGCAGTATTACCTATGCTTGTTCTCTTGTGCTTAATGCAGTCAATCAATCATTCTGTGTTATAGTTGGAATTCTGTGTTATAGTAGCATCAGTCAGGAGAAGATTTTTTTTTTTTTTCCATTTTATTTTGCCAAGTTTAATACTGTTATTTGCTATATATACAAAGGAGTTTGCATAAGGAATTTGATTTTCCAAGACACTTCATCCCATCTTTCTGTTGTAGATGCAAATTTTGCAACTTCGGTCTACATCCCTTGGATTCCATTTGCTACATTTTTTCACTGAGAATGTTTATGAATAAATGTACAGACATTAAGTATAATTATTATTCTGTCTATAAGGTTCCCTGCATGGAAACATCTACCAAAAGCATACATACATAATTGGGACACACCACTTTATGCTGACTGTATACAATAAGTATCATTAGTTGTACTTTTGGCAAGAATTTAGTTTCAAGTGCTGAGACACAAAGTTACACTGGAGGGTTGGACCACATATGGTTTAAGTAGTCTGTCAAAAATGCAAACCCTTGCTGACAATAGCATTCAATAGATGAGTAACTGTGGTAAAAGAGAGACTGAAAGATACTATTCTCACAACTGAAGAACAATGATTCACTATCATAACTTCTTAATTAAAAGTGTTGATTGTATAGAACAACTTTCATATGAGAATATAATACTTCTCCTAACTCTTGCAAAAAAATCAGGACTTCATACTAGTGGCAAGGATGCACTGAAAATCCATGCCAAACCAGAATTTAAATCTATTTAATCCTATCTGTTTCTGTAAGGAGTTCAACCGTGATGCTGCTGAGCTTTTGATATGGATGGAAGAGAAATACAAGATTGCATCTGATGAATCCTATCGTGATCCAACAAATGTTTTACGCAAACTGAAGTGGCACGAGGCCGCTGAGAAGGAAATGATGGCTAATGAGAAGCACTTTGCAACACTGATAAAGGTGAAGACATTTTTGAAACAAAGTGTTCCACCTGGTCCCAAACTTCATGACCTTTATCTAATACAAAAATGTGCTGTGCTGTGTTTTTCCAGAAAGGAAATCAGCTGATTCAAGATGACCATTATGCTGCGGCTTCTATCCAAAAGAAGATGTCAGAGCTAGAGAAGAAGTGGAAGGAACTGTATGGGAAGATGATAGAGCGAGGTGACAAGCTAAGACAAGCCGGGCAGCAAGAACAGCTCATGGAACTGCTGCAGGTCAGGAGGTGGAGGGGTGTAGAGGGGAGGGCTAGCACAGGAACCTGTTGATAAAATGTTGATTAAAAAAAATGTTCCTTGAAAAAAAGAGCAGAATACTCTGCACGTAAAAACATGTTTAAGGTGTTTGGACACAAGGAAGATCACTTTCTACAAACTCAGGAGAGAAAAGCCAGTGTGAGGCTAACCAAGCTCACTCTAAAGCTATAAGGAGGATAAAAGTGCCAGCAACAAGATGCAATGCTACTGAACTCAAGCTTAGCACTGCATCTGGTTATCCCAGATGAAGAAGCCAATCAAGTCATTCTGCAGGGCTCAAGATTGTACAAAAAAAACATGCCAGCTTTGAGTCAGTATGGAGGTTTGAGGCACAACATTACATTCAAAAGTAATTCAGGCAAACTTTGTGAGAGGAAAAATATGCTCTGAAGCTGTTTCCAGGTATTAATGTTTAATTAAACTGCTGTTGCATTGAATTTAAATGCTAAACTTTGAAGCCATTGGAGGTTTATTTGTATCCGAAGATAGCTTAAGCTTAAAGAGATGATTTTGTAGTTATGTACTTTAGTAGCTCAGAAGGAAAAGTACACCAAAATGGAGAGCAAAGTAAAATATTCCCAGGAAATGCCTCTTAAAGGCACCTGGCCATGGTGTTACCAAGAAATAAGGTAGGGATTTAAATATTGTATCCAGGAAGCTGTCCTGGGAGGAGCTGAGTGAAAGAAAATGTTTCAAGGTCAGTAGGAGCATGCAGTAACCTTTTCCCCATAGGATGCCAAAAAGAAGATAGAGAAAATTGAGAAGGTTCTTCAGGAAGCAGAGACAGGCCATGATTTGCGCTCCAGTCGTGATCTACTCAAGCAGCACAGACAGCTGGAAAATGAGACACACGAGCTGGCAGAGAAAATGAACTCTATTGTGTCTCATGCAATGAAAATGGCTGCCAATCACTTTGACTCCCAGAGAATTCTGGATGAAACGCAAAAATACCTAAAAAGGTGAGGTATCACTCTCTTTTTATTCCCACTCCTTATGTCATATCACATTTTTTGTTCCACCTTGGACCCATATTCAGGAATGATTTATCCTGTTAGTTCTTCTACAGCCATGCTTTGGTCTATACCTGCACAGCTGCAGGGCGATAGATTCAACATCTATTACTGGAATTTGCTCCTTGTCTACTGCACTCCTACTCTGGTCCTTTGGTTACCCATAGGTCATCCAGTTGCTTGCTAAAATGTGCAGTGATCAATATTCAGTAGCAACTAACTTCCTTAAAACATCATAGGACAAGCCTTTGGTTTCAAAAGTGAAAAACTGTTTTTTTTTTTCTCCTCTTCTTGCATTTATTGTTCTTAGTCTAAATTAAAAGTTGACTGAAATTCTCTTTCTTCCAAGCAGCATTACTTAAATGGCTGGAAAGTGAGGCATGAATAGTGTAACACTGTATTCTCCTTTTGATGTAGGTTTACATCAGAGTTATTAACTGAGCAGTGGCACTATCTATTGCAGCAGGCATGACCTGTGCCAGGATATATTATGACCAAGGCTTGTCTGAGAATCACAGCTTCATAAAGCTCTATTCCCATTTCCCATAGCCTGCTCAAATCCCTTCCATACTTGCCCTCAGTAACCTTCTGGAGTTCTTGGATATACAGCCAAAACTAACCTTTGAATTTTAGTTGCACAGAAGTATCCAGTGTTCTGTAATGATGATTGTGATATCATAGACTAATTCCCTTGGCAGGACTGGGATAAAACTTTGTTTAACATATATGTTTTAATGGATGGTCCCTAGGTTTGAGTCTTTGCAAGCACCTCTTGGCGAGAGGCGTAAGCTGCTGGAAGCAGCAGTGGATCTTTATGAGTTCTACCATTACCATGACATGGAGCTGAACTGGATTAATGAGCGATTGCCTATTGCCAATTCCACCAACTGTGGGAAGTCCTTGGATGTAGCTCAAAGTTTGTTGCAAAAGCACAAGGTATCTCCTTTCATCAAGTCTATGATAGCTTGTTGGCACACTGCACATCACCACAGCCTGCAGACCAGCACCTGCATAGTTATCCTTTACCTCCAGGGAGACTGTTACAAGCAAAATGTAGTGCAACACTAATTGAAATATGATTCCAGCACACTGAGACAAGTAAGCGGAATAGTGTGATTTCCAGGGCAAACAAGGAATTCCTGTAGGAGCTGCAAAATTTTCCATGTTTTACAATATTCTTATTCTGAGAAAGATTATAGCTCTTCCAATTAGAAGTGGATAAAAGCTAGTGTACTTCATATTAAATAGAAAAATTAAGTTTTTGCTTTGTGCAGTGATCTGGGTAAAATATTTTGACTCTCATGTTCTCATACTATCTTAGTTCTATACTTACTGCACTTCTTTGTCTTTACATATCCTTCCTTTCTTCCTCATTTTTCTTTTTTCTCATCCACAGGAATTTCAGGCAGAGGTGAATGCCCACAAACAGCAAGTCCAGCGGGTCCTGGATAAAGGAAGGACAATGATTGAAAGTCAGCACCCATCAGCACAGAAAATAAATGACAAATGCCAGGAGCTTGTGACTGCCTGGCAGGGCCTGGAGAAAGCCTGTGAAGAAAGGATGAAGCAGCTGCAGCACTCAGTTGGTTTCCAGGAGGTACAAATTTCTCCCATAGTAGCTTTTTCAGGGAAACAAGAGGATCAAATATTTTAGGTGAACAACAAAACAGCTTAAATCTCTCCCTTTAATAGTCTTGGAATTTACTTCAGCTCAGACTCATGGAGCCAGACTCAACAAAATAATACTGAGAGACTGATCAAGCCATTCCACTTAAAGCAAGTTAGGACTTTTGACCCTATTACTTCAACAAGATAATGGAACATAATTTTAGCCTCCTTAGAAAAAAATTACAGGCAAATATGTATCTGGATAATCCAAATGTATTGTCTTTAGTGGGTCATTTAGAGTGCAGTCACTCAGATGACATAGGTAGATTTTTAGACATAACAATATTTGCACAATGCTCATAGGTCCACCTAAAGTATGTTCTATGGAAAATTTAATCATGTGGATCTTGTTTCCTCCACATGTATAAACCGCTGTCCATACTGTAGGCTTTATGAAGCCTAATCTTTATAGATGGTTTGAATTCCACAGAAATCTATCACCAGAGCTTTGGTGCTTGAATTTGTACTGATGTCTTAAATCTGTGGCCTCCTTCATATGATTTGAAAAAGCAACAGTATGTATAAAATCCTCATAGTATGTTCAAATTTATATAAGGATTCTATAAATTAAATGCCATTTAGAAAGCATTTTTTTCAGGGATTTGGCAAAGCTAATGAAGTCTCCCTTGGGTTCGTTTCTTATTGGGAAACACACCCAGCTTCTTCTAAGATTCCTGCAACTTAGTCCAGTCATATGGAATAGTAGTCCTTAGGATTAAATAGTCTTTATTAGTTTTTCAGTGTGATATTACAGTAGACCTTATCATGCACCCTTTGCTTCAAATGTATTAGGTCAAAAGAATTACATGAGTATTATGGAAGTTGACACAGACATTATTTTGCTTTTTCTTTAACTGATAGTTTCTAATGAATACTTCAGACCTGGAGGCTTGGATAGCAGAAAAGCGTCCACTTGTGATGAGCAAGGACTATGGTAAGGATGAAGATGGAACACTGAAACTCCTCAAGAAACATAAGGTATTTCAGAAACTTCTTAGTAATTCTTGAAAAATTAAATAAAAGATATTCAAAGTTTGCATCTGTGATTAAGGAATTGAGTTGCTATGTTGCTTCAGGAAGGAATGACTGCCATAATATTTGAATTTTTGGTCCATCAGCAATTTTTTTTAACAAAGCTAGGATCTTCTTTGTTTGCATGTTGTGCTCTGAGTCTGAGAGTAATGGGTGTAATATACCAGGCTGCAAGAAGTATACCTTAGTGACTAACACCATGCACTCTAACATCTGGAATGGTCTTGAATAGTTTCTACAAATATTCCTAGCATAAAAACATGTTTGAGAGGCAAGATTTTGAAACTATAAAAAGTTGTGAAAAAATCAGAGGTTTTCTGTTCATCACTGGGAGTGCTTTTAACCCCTTAAGAAAGCTTAAGGCCTCATTGAATCTGTAACTCCCATGACAGCAGTCTTGAGTTTGATGCTGTTTACACAGACCAGCAACTTTGAGATTATTTTTCAGATTTGTAGGTAGAAAAAATATTTCTTCTCTCCTGCTCTTAAGTCACCCAATTCTTTTTTCTAGTTCATCTATCTGAGAGTAGCAGAGGAGGTCAAGGAATCTCTCTTCAAATTCTGTGGACTGGCAGAATCTTTTGATCTGCCTTTCTTTTTTAAAATGTTCTGTTTCCTTGATACTTAAGTGTCCAATCATCTAAAAGATAGCTCAAATCAGCATGTGTCCACATATGACTAGACAGACAGAAGAGGTAGATATAGTTCGTTACTCTGGTTGAAAAAAATTTAGTTCAACAAAATAGTAGAATGAGGTATGTTCTCATCTTATTTTTTGAGGCCAAAACTATGATCTGATATCTGTTTTTCAGTCTCAATAGATGCATGAAAAAGTTTTATGTTTTTCCTAGAATCAAAGATAAATATTGTGTATTATTCCAGGAATACTTATCTCTGATTAACTGTATCAGAAATTTCTAATTCATCTAACTAACTTGTTTGATATTATATATGTAGGGTTTTTTTGTTTGTTTTTGTTTTTAAAAAGAGAGAGAGAAAATAGCCTGAAACTGATCAAGTCCTGGAAATATCACATGCTTCCAGAAACTTTTCTCCTCTTTTAATGTCTCCATTGATTCCAGTATAGACTGGCGCAAAAGTTGAAATAGTGAAAGTCTTGGAAAATCTGCTCTCATTCTGCTCTGTTCTTTAACAGGTACTGGAGCATGAGATTGCTGTTTACCAAGATCTGATTAGAGAATTAAATGAAAGTGTCCAAAATCTTCCAGCCATGGGTTCTATCCAATATGTTGAGGTTGATGCACCAAGGGAACAAGTTCACTCAAGACTCCGTGAGTTACAGGAACTAGCAGCAAAAAGGTATGAACTAGAAAATATATATCTTAGCTGACTCTAGTCTAAATTGCCATGTGGGTACTATGTTTGATCCAAAGTCTAGCTGACTATGCTTTGACTCGAATAAGTCAATCAAAGGCATCTCCAGTTACCTCACTACAATTTTTATCATGTCCACCATGTCCCCTATTTGTAATTGTATTTAGGAAATTGCTTGTTTCTGTATTTGAATTCTGTGCACCTATGGACATTTTATTATTGCTACATGAAGCCTCTACATTTTGCTGAAGGAATTCAAAGCCACCAAATTTCCTCTTCACCCTTCATCATCCTCCTGTAAAACAATTTGAGATCCAAGATTCTGACTTTTCTTCCTGTTATCTGGACTATGATATTAGAAGGGTAAGGGAGGGGTAAGCCTTGTTTTAGAAAGTTTCCCTTACTGAAAACTACTAGAAAATGACTTTATTTATTACATAGAAGAAGGAAAGCAATTGATATTATGCTTATCTTTATGGCCAGTGCCATTTCTACTATAAGAAGTCTTTCGTCTTTGAATAAGATGTATACTTTTTATTTCACTTCCTTTCTCCTATTAAAATAGTAGCAAGTTACAACAAGACAGTTTGATTTTACCCAGGATTTTTAAATACTTCTAACTTGTTGTTGGGAAAGAACAAATGCCCATTTGAACAGTTTAGGTTTTATCTCCTCAAAAAATTCATACAGAAAAGGTCATTTAAAAACAAACAAATGAAACAAAAGAGGAAGAAAGCTCAGCTAGGTATTGTGCTTTTCTGAAAACTTCAATCAGTGAGTCTGACTTGGTTGACAGCTGTCAACTTATAAACATTATTTCCAGTCCTGAGAAATAAAGACAGCTCTTTTATTAAGGACAATGAATCTTGATGAGGAGAGTCTGGGGGGAGTAGTAAGAAGAAAGATAATAATTACCCTTCTCTTGAACTCCCTTATTCTAATTGTATTTTCTTATCTCCTCCCTGCAACAGAGGAAAGAAGCTGGATGAGACTCTTGTTTTGCATGAGTTCCTACGAGAATACGAAGATCTGCAGGACTGGATGGCTCAGCAGAAACAAGCAGCCAGCTCTGAAGACTATGGAAATGATTATGAGCATGTATTGGTGAGTTTTTTGAGTAACCAGTCACCCAAATCAACCAAATGGTATGCTGTCAGACTGTAAAAAGATTCCAAGATTGTTCCTGAAAACTTGGAAGAAGATGAAAAGCGTAACATTGAAAGCATGAATCACTGGGAAACAGGAATAGAAAAGGATCAAGGGTGGGCAGAAATGATTGTCTAGTGATGTCAGGCAGGTAGCATTGCTGAACTTTTGCATCATGCTACCATGGGGCCTGAGCTGCATGAAGCAGCCGCATGCTAAAATACTTAAGCTTTCAGATACTCAAAGAGAATCTCCCATCTATTTTTTATAGCTAGATATTTAAATCTGGTTTACCTTCAGCATTTGTGAAGAAAATTCCTTATGAAGGGACATTACAGCCATATCTTTTCACATGGCATAGAAATTATTATAAAGTCAGCACCTTAGAAATCAATACCCATTCAAAATCTTTATTTTTATTTCAAAATATGTTGTGTCCTAAATTTTAAACTCAGATTACGTTATTGAGTTACAATACTCAATAAAGATTTATATTCCTAAAGTAAAAATGTAATGTTTTAATAATTGCAATTCACTGTACATTGAAAATATATGTTTGTTTCTATCCTCGGTAATCATGCTTCTGCCTTGTATCTGCATTGCAGACCTCATATTTTGCTAGCAATCTGTAGTTCCTCACTGCCTTTGGAAATAAAATCCAGTCACTGATATCCTCCTCTTCAGTTTCTCCATCTCCATTTGTAGTCAGCTTGTTACTTGTCACTCTGACACCTAGAAGGTACAACAATTGTCAACAACTTTTTGTTGTTGTTGTTGTTTTCCTTTCAAAAGCAACTTTGTGCTAAGTATGACACTTTCCGACACCAATTGGAAGCAACTGGGAAAAGAGTTATGACTTGCCAACAGCTGGCAGAGAACTTGCTAAACTGTGGTCATTCCGAGTCCCGTGAAATCCGGCAGAAGCAGAAAGAACTAAGGTAGGACACCTGTGTAGGCTCTCTAATGCTTTGTCCTTTCAGTTCACTCTTGAGGAGGAAGCAAGACGAAATTAGAAAATGGTAAGGCATGTCCCCCAAATCTCTAATTGCAAAATGTGTGTTTTTCTCATTGATAGAGAACTGTTGCCATGCCTCATTTGAAAAAAAACTACTACAATATAGACATTATCTATTTGCTGATTTGCTTTTTTGCAAATTGCATCAGAGATTCTTTGCAAGCAAGAGGTAATTGAACTTCCTTTTGTCCTTTGGAGAAACGTTATCTAGCTATAGAGCTGGGAGTTTAGTTGAATCATTATTGCTTCTAATATTTTTAGCTTGAATCCCATGACTGCTCTGCAGCTTTTAAGATGTTGAGCCTCTTTTGTCTAGCTCTGGTCCAAGCTGGCCTGAAAGAGAAGGGTCAGTGACTAGTAAAGTCTGATTCAATCCCCCAAATCCTGCTGTGCCAGTCATAGTGCTGGCAGTGGAAATCAGGGGAGAACTCAATTTAGTCATTAATCTAGTGTCCAGATAATTGTGGCACTTTTAGGGAGGCAAATTAATGTAGATGAAGAGTTATACTCATCTTAAAAATCGAGCTTCATGTATATACTTCCTCCAGGAGTCTTTTTTCCCAGTATTTTTCCCCTTCTAGTTGTAAATTCTGAAGCATGTAAAGGCTGAAAGACTTATTGAGGAGGCATGCCCGTGTCTGGGCAACAACTTAAGTGTCTGAAGTAGACAGAAGAGTATGGGCAGAGTAGGGTGACAGATGTCCTACCCCTCAGAGAATCACTTCAACAGAATTTAATGGCAGGACTGAAAAAGCACACGGAGGTTTTGTTCTTAGCCTTTCTTCAGACTGTTAATCTCCTTTACTCCTAGTTTGCATGTCTTACATGTTTTGTGTTGGTTATTTTTTTTTACTATTTCTTCCTAGAAACTCTTGGGAGGAGCTGTTAGAAATTACCAGATTACGCGGTGAGCGGCTGAAAGATGCAGAGGTGATTCACAAATGTTACCAAGATCTGACAGATGCTCTGGCACACATTGAGGTAAAAAACACTGGAAATATTTTATATAAGGAAAAGTTCCATTTCAGCTTAATTTGTGGAGTATTCTTATGATTCTTAGTATGTTTTCTGCTGTCTTCTAAAATATCTCAGTAAGAAACTCACACGATTACTCAAACTGAGTAAAAACAAAAAATTCTGGGTAATTTTTGAACACTTGACTGCTCACCTTATGAGAACCATTGGTGAAACTGAGTACAGCTAGGGATAAGACAAGTAGATTAGATAAGATAAGACAAGTAGCCTGAACTAAGTTGTCTCATATTGTAATGCGTGTAGTAATGTTTTATTCAGCCTTCAAGACTAAGAAACTGTACACTGTCTCACTGTTTTCTTCTTTCTACACCACTGTAGCCTTCTGTGATGAAGAGAGAAATTTCCAGTGGTTCACAGTGACAGTTAAGCCTGGGTCAGGTAGTTATGTAACCTGGTGCAAAAGCTGGGCCAAAAATGAGTTCTTTTCTTCATTTCTAGTGATAGGTAATGGCAATACTTTAAAGCTCCCAGTATGAAAATGGGAGAGAGGCAAAATCTCAATGAAATTCTTCAGGTTTCTGTTTTAACTAAAAATTCCAAAGGATTTTTGGAAAGAAACCACATCGTTGCTATACTGAGAGGTGTGGTGTTCCGAGTGCAGATATGTATGGAAAGCAAGGCAACAGAGCCTCCACTGTTTGCAAGGCAGCAGAGCTTTGCTGGGTTAAGTGTAGTAGATTTTTCCATTTGCTTGTAATGAAAAGGCTGCCCTATGTTATTCCTGTTTTCTTTCCCTGATGTAAATGGAAAATCAAATGTCATATATTCTACTGTATATCAGTTGAGGTTTTCAGAACCTGGCACATATTTTAACTTTAAGAATGAAGTAGTTAATTCTGTAGCTATGACAAGTGACAGTTTAAAAACATTCCACAGACAACTCTTGATTAATTCCTATGCTGGGTTTGCCCCAGCTTAACAGTACATACTTCTTGCATTGTCTCCTGTTAATAATCTGAGTGGGAGAGCAATTTGCCGTGCCCATCCCTTCATTTATCTCCTGCACAGATGCCTAGGGGAGAATGTCTTTTTCTCAGAGGAACATAGTAATGGAAAGTCTCTCTTAGGTGACCAACACCAGTGCAGTCATATCATAGGCTACTACAGCATACAACTCCTTACTAAGATATATTGTTTGCATCCCAAATGAGCCTGTGAATCTATTACAGAAATGTATTTCTATGATTAGAAACATTTTTCTGATTTTTTTATTGAGCTGGACTTTGGACAGTTTTCTATTTTGTGACAGAATTGTTTAGTGTGTCTAATCTTTACAGTAATTCTTCCTTCCATTCTTAACTTATCTTTCCTGGACATGCATAACTAAAGCTTTGTGTAAAGATGATTCACAGATCATCTGCATTCCAAAAAATGGCCTGAAACTAGTGGTTGTTAATACTACTTCAATAATTCACTGTATGTCACTGCAGTGGCTATTCAAGGTTAATTCACATTGCCAAGTCTGTAAGATGTTCTCTTTATTGTCTGATCAAGGAAAGACTTAAACCTTCATCTCTCACAGTCTGATTCAGTAGCTTAATCACTGTGATGCTTACCAGGGAGTTACTAGGACAGGTGTGCTAGGACAGAATTTTCTGGCTTCCTATTACTTGTCATGGTTGAGTGACTAAGAATAGTTGTCCACACCTGTGCAGTATGCATGCACAGCTTGACTAAAGTAGGCTGCTGGTGTATTTTGTTTATAAGTTGCGCTTAACAAAGCTTGCTCTGATTTTTCTCCTTGCTAGGAGAAGTCTAAAAGTATTCCAGATGATGTTGCAAAGGACATGAGAGGTGTGCAAACCCAGCTCCGGAACCATGTGGCCCTGGAACATGAGCTCCTTGGAAATGAGCAGCAGGTAACAAAAGTAATTTGTGGTCTTTAATATATAATCACAATGTAAGCTTCCAAGATGGTAATAATAATGTAGTATTATGGATATGTTCTATGAAAGCCTGGAATATTCTAAGACTCTTCCTCCATGTTTCCTGCTTTTTTAATATGTTCAAGATCTGCAGGTGATTATAAAAGCAGGTCATTTACAATCTTGCAGAGAAGGAGCATATTATAATGAGTACTGACAATTGAAGTGATTCACAGGGATATTTTTGATCACTATTTGAAATGTATGATTACACCAAGCTTTATGAGGTGTCCACCACATAGTCCAAAGCTTGCCAGATGATTATGATGAAAAATCCAGAATCTCTTTAATTATTAGAAAGGCTGAATTGAACACAAAACATGTTAATTGACTATAGAGGATTATAGAAGGAAAGATGGGGCAGTAGCCTGGAGATTTCAGTATGTTTAGAGGATTTGAATTTGGACTATGAGAAAGAAGAGAAGGGCTTGTTATACAAACTTACAGAAAGTGTCAGTTCATGAGCTATTGCTTAGAAAACTTCCTAATACATGATAGATTAGCATAGCTTTAACTAGACCTAAGAAACCAGTATAAGTTTTATCTTCATCCCTTTGTTTTATCAATTTAACAGTATTGCTAACACAATACGTGTTATACTGAGATTACTAAACTTGCTATCTCAGAATCACTTTTCAGTGTCCTCACATCTTAGCCTTACATCAGAAAATGCTGGAATTTATGCCACCAGCTCCTTGTTTCTTTTAAAGGTAGAAGAGCATGAGATGTGCATGAATAGAATGCAATCACTGTTAAGCTGTTTAGTCACTGGGGAAAACAAAGTATAATACCTACTGTTTGCATTGTTTGTGTAGTAAGAATGGCAAAAATGAGAAACAAAATCTAGTTGAAAAAAATAGGTTGTGATGAACGTTAGCAAACACTGGATGTCACTGTTATTCCATCTGAAATTAGGGATATTTTTGTTTAGCATGAGAAAACTCGGATCAGAAAATTTTACTTGAATTATAACTTGATTTAGAATTAACATAGTTTTTGTCATAATTTTCTTGATATTAGCTGAATCTCTATGACTCTTTCTTACCTTTCTTGTTTCTTCCCTGCCTATAGCTGCAGGATCTGATCCGCTCTGCAGATGATGTGCTGACTCGTTGCACAAACGAGCAGGCATCAGACCTGAAAGCAAAGCAACAGGCAATAGCAACCAACTGGAAGGCCCTGAAGTCTAAAGTGCAACTGCGTAGGGAGCTTCTGGAACAAGCACACAAGCTTTACCAGTTTCAGGCACAAGTAAGCACTTCTATCTTCTGTCCCCTAGTACACAGGGATACGTTTGTCAGTCATAGGTATACTTCTGAGCTGCAAAGGTTGATGTGAATTGCTGCAGGTGCTATCTGTGTTATTAACCGATTAAGTGCTTGTAGCTATTTAGAAAGGTATTAGAGGATAAGGATATTTTTACCTTCTGTAGGAAGGGAAGCTCAGAAATGGTCATCACTTTGCAGCAGTAGTGATAGATTTATTTTCTAAGATTCTTCCACTGATAAAAGTAGATTCATGCTCCTATTTATACTGGTCAGAAATTGGATCTCTCTCTCTCTCTGGGCATGCAATAATGATCCATTAATTTATTCCATGAAATGTATTAAATACAATTCATGGGTCTTTGCTGGATCATGGCAACAACCTCACGAGTTGCTTAAACACAGTGATTCCATCATAATATCATTACCTGCAACAGAATTCAGGAGGGAATACAACTTGCCAAAGAATACTGTGCTAATGTTAATACTTTCAGTGAAATAATTTGTGATACATTTCTGCAAATTACTAGGTTATTGGTACAAGTACTACAGTGGCAGGTACAAAACAGTGAAGATGCTCTCTTCTACCAAATACTATACATAATAAAGGAAAAATAAACAATCCTTTTTTTTATATGGATGCTGACCACATTGTTCCTGTGCTTCCAGTGGGGATGAAGAAGTTGCTAATGTAAATTTCTTGGATATCTTACATGGGGCTTTTTCTTAATGAGATTTTGCATTGGCTAAAAAGCAAATAATGAACAAATCGATGTCTTTCTATGAAAAGAAAATTCTGTATAATCATCCTGTGTATTTCTCTGCATCCCTTCAAGTATGATTTTCCGTAATTGAAGAGCAGGGTTCTCCCCAACCTATAGCATGCAGTAACAGCAGGGAGTTCCATATCTTCCAGTGAACTATATCAAGGAATTCGAATTTAGATATAGACATATTCAGTGTTTCTGAATTGTTTAAGACCCGTCTTCTGAACTTTGTGCAGACTGATGCCTGGTCTATCCTTAAATATTGTTGGCATTGCCAGTCCAAAAACAATACCTTGTTGGCTTTTGACTTGTTCCTTTGCATTAAGTATTCTGAGATGTACAGGTTTCTTGTCAAAATGGGTAGCTTAAATCTTAAGGAGTCTTAGACATTTGCACTATACCAAGTGCAATGTCAGTATCCTCAGTGACATGCAACTGTGCATGAATTATGGTTCTGTAAACAAAAATTACATCAACAAATGTACTCCATGTGCCCCTTTAAAAGGATTGCGATCAATAGGAAATCATTAAATATGTGTGTTCACTGGCTTTATGATAAAAGTATCTTGGCTTTAGAGTTTAAACTCTCAGAACCCTGAACAGACCAATTTCAACTGTATGGTTCTTTTCTGAAACTATTTTTTCTGTACTCAATTTTAATGAAAGAGATAAAAATTCATGGATAAGATGGAACAGGCAAGAATCTATTTCCGCTGGCTATCTTCCTTCACTGGAAAAGTAGGCAACCATTCACAAGATTATTTTCTAGCTTTCTGCAGGAACAGAGCATTTTTCTTCAGCACTTACTGTCTGTAACAGTTTTCTAAAATACACCAAGAAACCAGAAGGCTTTCTACCACCTCAGAATTGAATGAGATTATCCAAACATGGCTATAACAAAACTGAATTAAATTTTGAATTTTTTTGTACAGTTCCTTATGTTCCTGTTTTTCACCATGTAATAACTCATTAGAGCACAACACCTGTTAAAGATTCAAATGAGATGGCCAAAGTGAAGGCTCTATAAATTAAGTGCAGAAAGATGGACGAAAAAAGTTAAATTATTTTTTACTTGCAGAAGTTCTGTCAGCTTCAATCAAAAAATAACTCTCAAGGGGTTTGTTCAAGAATTTTCTTGCTCATAATTCCTACAACTGAATGTTCAGACATCTTAAGATATTGTGTGTTCATTGGTCATCAGGTTTTGAAAGTAAACTAGTGCTACACACTTATTCCTTCCAGAATTCTATTTCCTTGGCAGTCTCAGAACCAAATCTGCATACCTAACACGTGTAAACAATTTATTTCTGAATTGTAACGTGCCTCTTTTCCACCTTGGTAAAAGTGAGCACTTTTTGTTTTTCACCTGAAAATTCTGATTCTCTCTTTCACTTTATAATATGCGTTTTGAATGGATTTTCTTTTAGCCAAAGCTAAGGCATAGAAAAGTAGAATTATATATATTGTTTAACCCAGAATGCAGAAAATACTTAAGAAATAATGGGCTAAAGAGCGATAAACAGTATATTGTCACTGCTGAGGTATGGCCCAGTTTGATTAAGATTATGATATTACAAATCATGTATGATTTAATATAGTACATAAAAAATTCTGCAGTCATGTTACATTCTCTGGTTGAAATTCATAAAAATGCTGTAAGTCTTAATTAAATATTTTCTTTCTTCTCTATGATTTTATTACCTGTTGAATGATCAGGATATGATTTTCCTGCCTGATAATCCAAGTTTGAGATGTAACCCTAACTTTCACGTTTTCTTGGGTTTCAGGTGTGGGACTATTTCTCATGGACATCAGAAATGATTAGGGAAATGAGAGCCAAGGAGACGATCCGGGACATATCTACTAGCAGCCTGAGACTTACTCAGCATCAACAGCTACTGGCTGAGATTGAAGCACAAGAAGAGAAGTATAATCAAGTTGTACAGCTTGGACAGTCACTCCTGCAAGATGAGGAAATAAGATCAGAAGAGGTAATTGAAACACATTTAAGTTCAAAATTGAACACATTCAGCTACTCAACACTAGTATAACTATCATTCTGAACTATACAGTATTGTAATCATACACATGCATCGATTCACTCACACGTAGTCATAAGCATGACCAGTGTTTACCTCAGCATGTTATCTAGGTTGGACACAGAAACATTTCCTACCTTAGCAGTAGATGAGTGCCGGCATGTCCTGAGGGCCCATTGCAGCAAAGCTGGGCTTATTGAAGAAGCCTAGTATGTTCTGAGCAGTGGAGATAATTCTACACAGGTTGAACCAAAGACCTGTCAACCAAAATGAAAATAAGTATATCAGAGAGTTTAAAATCAGTTGGGGCATTTTCTGTAGCAGGAAATTATGCCAATGTATTAAATACCTAGATGTGAAAGACGAAAATCAAAATGCTAGTTTACTCAGGACGAATAGTTCCTAAAATTCTTATAGCATTTTTTCTCTCCCAGTAACTACTAGTTTACTTCTCCCCAACAATTTAATAACTTCTGTTGAGTATATTCAGAAAACAGGAATTCTATTCTCCCAACTGACCAAGCTATTTCCTGAAAATTCATTTAATGTTGTAATGTATAACTGCACTAACTTGGAGTCTTCCTGACTTAAAAGTCCTTTGCCTGTAGAAGAATGCAGATAAGATCAGTAATAGAAGATCTGTAGGTACGCAGTGTTTGGAAACTGAAAATACCTGAAATCTAAGATTGAGACATATTGGCAGAATATAGCAGAATAAGTTATGATATTAACTTATGTAAGAATCTCTCCTATCCCAATTTTAAATGCTATTAATTGCACTGTTATTAATAAAGATAACATAAGTAGGAATTGATTCCAGAAGGTACACTTGAGAAACAGTTACCTTTATTTGCTCTTGGCTTGGACTGCTATATATGCTATATCAATCATTCCTCTGTACCTGAGACGAGGCACCACTCTAATTATCTCTCCACCCAAATGTAAGTGCTGGAACTTGTCCTACTTCGTTTGATAATTTTGGTGCTATTTATAGTGTTTATCCAAGACTCCACATTATCTTTCTCCTCTCACCTTGTCTTCATCTATGATGTATAATGACCAACATAAATTTTTGGAAATTGTGTTCAGATTCAGCAGAAGCTACAAGCTTTGTTGGAAGAGAAGGACAAAGTATACGGTGAATGGAAACAGAAGAAGAAGTGGCTGGACAAAATACATCAAGAACAAATGTTCTACAAGGATTGGAATCACCTGGACAAGCTCCTGAACTCACAGGAGGTATGTGAATTGTACGCTTGAAATAAGCAGTTAGACTTCAACATTTTAACTCTTCCAAGCCAAAACGGACATTACTATGCACCTACAACTTAAAATCCTTAAGTCTGTGTATAGACAACACGCTTTTATTGTTATTTGTGTTGCAGCGTCACCTGGAGACTAGCAATCTACCAAGACATTCACACTTTCTTATGGGAAGAAAACAGAAACTAAAAGTTACACCTTGCTACAAAGCTATGTAATTGCAAATAGATATAAGAGATAACATATTAGAACTTTGACAGAAGAGGGAGACAACAGTCCAGTATTATTTAGCTTTAGTTAGATCTCAGCATACTGACTGCTTAACCACTGACAAGCTATTTTGCAAGCTGCAGAAAAATGGGGAATAATAAAGGGGGCTTGAAGGAAGACAAATAGATTTGCAGGTGCTGCTGGAAACCTCTCCTCAGGCTGAAGTTTAGTGCTGGGGAAATGCAACTAGTTGAAAATTGATGTTGTGAATTAGTCCAGGTCCAGTCCAGGAGCTGCCTTCTCTTTTTTGCAAGGGAGTTGATAACAGTGTGGAGATCTATGAAAGAATCTGACCAGGAGGAATAATCATTTATCTTCCACGTAACAGAGAAAGATGAGTTTGTGTCATGAAAATAAAGGGTTGATGTAGTAAATGCAAAGCCAGGATATTCTTTATACTATCATTTGCAGCTCTTGAAATATGTTTCTCACCAATTTCAAAGTGTCTTTCATCTTTCTTGCACTTTCCTGAATTCGTGGGAACAATCTAAAACAGTTCCAGCCTGAGGTCTGACATTTACTGTTGCAAAACTGGGAGTGAAGAATTCAAATGTCCTTCCCAGTCGCAATGTGCAAAATCATGAAATAATAGATTGCTGTAACTGTTCTGAGGCTTAGCATGCAAACCACATTGATAGGCTGAAGTTTGCCAACTGAAGGGTTGAAACAAAGCTGAAGAAGGTTGTATTTCAGCATCATTTCCTATTAAGGAAAAATCATTCTTCATTCTCCAAGACCACTGGCAGCACAAAACAATGGTACTTGATTTGTGCTGAACTCTGGTTTCCCCCTGTGTTTTGTCACAGGCACTAAACCTTTTGGAAAAGTGACACTGAGCTGTGCCATGCACTAATACTCAACTCTTTGGGGCATATGGGCTTGAATCCTTCTCTAATTCATTGCTTGTGAGAAATGCAAATCTTCGTTATTCCCTACAAGTGGCATACTTGGCAAATAAAACCTACATTCTTAGTTTTGCTGAGACAAGATATCAGGAGAGTTTCATCTAGTTTCAGGTTTCTGGAATAAAATAATGCGTGATTCTGCCAAGTAAAAATGTTTAGTTGTTACAAATTTTGCCATTTTGTAATTAAATATTACATCTCTTTCAATTGCCTTCCAAGCCATGATACACCAATGCTAAGCTCCTACATGGATAACATTATCAGGGAAATGCAAACTCCAAAAAATTTTGGAAACTGTATTTTTTCTTTTATCATGAAATCAGCCAGCATATAGAGCAACCGTGACCATGGCATCTGCTTTGCTGTACATACCTCAGAGGTAAATATTAAGGTAGCTACTATAAGCTAGCATTTCTTCTTGCCCTGAGTTGTGAATCCCAGTTTCAAAAGACTATATTACTTTTACATGAAAGCAGTTGCACCTGATAATTTCATTATGCCCCTAGTGCGTTCTATTCAGGTAAACTGCAGTTCATATTAATTCTTTATTAGATAAATTTATCATTGCCATATGCTGTGAGGTGGACTGCAATAAAAAAGGGTTTTCATCATAGACTTGCTAAATTTTCTGGGGAGGATCAGACACAGTGCCTACATCTATCACAGTTTTCTCCAGCTCAAGCAAAGCCTGAGAATGAAGATTGTGACCTCAAGGGACATAAAGGGCAGTTCTGTTCTCAGAATCTTTCTCTAACAGTATTTTTTAGTATTTTTTGTAAGAACTTTCAAGGATCTGGGTACCTGAGTTGTTCTCACTGTGTTCAAAAGCGTCCAAAAGGTGGAGTAATAAGGTGTAGATGGGCCATTTCTTCCAGCATCCCTTTGCACAGATGTTATTTTATGGTCATGGAGAACAGTAACAAAATAAACACAGAAGCATGATGACAAACTGTTCTTATACATGCAGGTATAGAGAGTAAAGGAACTATCATCACTGCGTACTCTATATATTTCCTCCACCACCTTCTCCAACTGATTTTAAAAGAAAGAAAGAAAGAAAGAATGCTGAGATTGAAAAGAACACACCAGCTATGAAAAGGAAGAATCATGATCATTTTTCTCATTTCAGCTTGTATTTAATTCTCAGAAGATTGCAACTGATTGAAGAACTGTTGCTTTTGTGTTAGGTTTGTGCATGAAAAGAGTTGCAGTTGTGCTCTCACAGTTATTGTTTTAAGATAGAAAAATAGGTCACAATTTCTCAGATACCACAATCAGTAACAAAGTATCTACCTGCAGCTTACTGGGGAAGTTTCAAAACACCAATGGATTTCTATATTGATAATCTGAATATCACAGTCAGCCATATGTCCCCTCCTTCACTGACACTGTCCCTGCTATCACCAATCTATTGTGATACCTAGAAAAGATTGTTACAGCTTGGCTCTCAAATTTAACCTAGGAAATGTGTAGAAGTGCTATTAACTGGGAAGAGGAGATAATGAATTTGTTCATATCCAAGGATGCAAACAATCAGATGCATTCAGGATGAGTGTTAATATGCACCACTCCTGAATGCACCAATTAGACCTTTCTTATCAGGAATTATTCATTTTCTTCCATGCTCTTGTTGTGTCCATTCTTTTCATCAGTTGACACTGAACAAAAGTACAATTAAGAAAAGAGCTGCCCAGGAGCATCAGCTTTCCTCAGAGTCAGAGATTATTAATAAAAGCACATCTCAGCCATACTTCACAAGTCTCACTGTACTTTCCTCATTTTAAATCACATTTTACTGACTTTAAGTCAGTTTTACTGCTTTCAGACCAGGAAATGTTGGTGTTCACCTCAGTGTCCAAAGCAGTGTCAGTCTACAGTGAGTATATCTACTAGGGATGCAAGTTCAGCTTATTACGCTGCTGAAAAGCCAGAGTCTACGTACACATGAATTAAACTCTGTCTTAAAGGAATTAGTGGAATGGGATCATGAAGATAATCATTGCAAGATGAGGATCATTTGCTGCTATTCATGAAGTAACAGGAAGAAATGCCTTCTGAATTCTACTTCTTCCTTAATATGCAATGCATTGACCTGGGCCTGAGTGAAATCCCACCACAGCTGCAATTCCTGTATATCCAGAATATCCCCTATTCCTTTCATTCTCTCATCTCCCCAAGTGAAAATTCTTTGAACAGATTATTCCTGAGCTGCCAAACTCCGGTCTGAATGAGGGAGGAATACTGAGAACTGCTGTTTTTTTGCGGCTGCGAACATCTGCCCTTTGGATCAATCAGTAACTACTGGGTGTACTGAGGTTTCTTAACCACTATTTGTATTTTACTTCTTTGCATTTAAGAACAATTGGAAGAGGAATCTGTTACGTTTGGATGGAGCTCTGTTACTACTATCTGGAGTTAAAATATAGCTGCATAAGGACTCAGATTTTCTCCCTAGGGAGATAGGCAGGAGGATCCCTTTCAAACGTGCTTTCAAAAATTATTCAGCTAAGACATCTATTGAAGACTCCCAAACCACTTCCCCGGTGGGAATTTTCTCATTTACTACTTTTGGAATGGACAGAATCAAACATGCATTCAAAAAGAATTCCTCTCAAGCAAACAAATGTAAGCAGTGACTCCACCCCTTGTTTTTTTCTGACTTTTGTGTTCAAGGAAATACTTAAGTCAAATCACACGCATTTCACTGTTTTACATCTGTAAGAAAGCAGCTCCTGTCATCCCATAATTATTGGATCCTATTTTCCCAGAACTTCATATGCTTTAGACCAAGTCTCTCTCAGCAGCAAGGAATGGAGGAAGAAAGAAGGCAACACATGAGTGTTTTAAACTAAGAACTGCTACTGAGAATTGCTCTCTCATTCGCTGTCTGTGCCAGTGTGACTGGTTTGACTTCATGCCAGCATCTTATGTTACATCCAAGTTACTTAAACCTTCGAAGGATTTTTGCAGAATTTAGTCTAGGATTGTTCTATGCTAAAGAAAATAGAGCACATGTGGAGGAAATTATGCAAACATCTATCTTTTATATTTTTTTTTAATTATGAATTCAGTTGTGCCATTGCTTGGAACTGTTGTAGGAAACTCTCCGAAGACCTGCAAACTGAGATCTTGCCTTTCAGAGTGCAGACAAGCAACAGCTGAAACAGAGAAGAAAGAAAAAATCATTTTTGCTTTGAGCAGAAGCAGTGTCCTGCACATTCTGCTCTTTTCTAACCTTTTTACAGCAGCAGATGCATTGCTCAGGTTAGCTGCTTTCCTTTTTTTTCCACAAATGAAATAGCAGCAAGTACACAGACTGTCTCTGGCAAGCATTTTTGGCTCCCTCCTACTCTGTCTGCAGTCTCACTGTCAGAACACTCAGGGAGCAGAGCCTCATGCTCTGTAATTTATCTTTCTGCCCATCCTGCTCTCGTATCACTTTGCAGACGTGATAGGTGGTGGTAGCAGTACTAGAAGAGCTGTGTTATTTTATTTTGAATGTGGATTTTTTTAGTTTGCCTTTTTTTTTCCCTGGAGAATGCATATTAACCTCTCATTCCTTTACTTCGGAAGAAGAATGGAAATTTCCAGTACCAAAGGAAAAAGGAGTAGGAGTTGGTTTTAAAAAGAGGGAGAAAGGCAAGTTTCTGTGGCTTTGGTTTTGCATCGTTTAGGACTAAGCTGCAGAATGTCATGCAGGAACCATCGCTGCAATCTTTCATCTGTACCAGTCTATGTCTCTACTGCGGAAGTGATGCTCTCTCCCAGCAGAATGACCCCACCTCCTCCTTTTGAATCTAT